GGCCTAAGAGGCTCCCCGGTTTCTGGGCTGCCTCTATCTACCTGTCCAGGACTTTCCTGTTGGTCTCGACTCTCCCACTGTCCTCCCACTCTGTGCACCCGCTGTTTTACCCTCAGTCTTCTGTGTTGTCATTACTGCCTCTGATGTTCTGTGGCCCCTTCAACCTTCCTGATTCTCTTTACAGATGCCCTCGCTCAAGCCCCCATGGATGGCTGGCCTCACTCCTATGTGTCCCAGGGCATGTACTGTCTGGGATCGTCTGATGCCTGGGAAGCAAGTGACCAGTCCCTCATTGCCTCTCCAGCCACAGGATCCTACCTTGGCCCTGCATTTGATGACTCACAGCCCAGCCTACATGACATGGGGCCTGTCCACCCTGCTTCAGGATACTCTGCTCAGGAGCCTCCACCGTTGCTGGGGGGAGACACTGACTGGGTGCCAGGGGTGGGTGGGGTGGACCTGGCTAGGGGCCCTGCTGAGGAGGAGAAGAGGCCACTGGCCCCTGAGGAGGAAGAGGATGCGGGATGCCGAGACCTGGAGTCGCTTTCCCCACGAGAAGACCCTGAGGTGTCCACTGCTCTCAGCAGGAAGGTGTCTGATGTCACATCTTCAGGCGTGCAGTCCTTTGATGAGGAGGAGGGTGAGGCCAACAACTAGCTTCTTCCCACGCCACTCTCACCTGAGGGGCATGGCTGCAACCCAGACCCTCCCTTGCCCCAGCAGCACAGCTGAAACCCGGGCAGAAGACCTCGGGGGAACCCTGGAGCTTCCAGCCCTCGCCTGGAAAGTGGAGGACCCACAGGGGTTGTGTCTAGGCTTACGCTCTAGAAACCACAGGCCCGGAACTGAGACCCAGGCAACTATGTGGCTGTGAACCTGGCATGGTAGTGAGAGAAGAGCCGTGGCTGTGGGTCTCTGGGTCTGCCTGTGTGCAGCCCAGAGACAGGAGGGCAAGGGGCCTGCTGGAGACTGGATCTCAGTTCTTTGCTCCCTGATTCCGTCTTCCAGGAGCCTTGGCTGTGCTGTCTGAATGCCTCCTTTCTCCATTTCACTCTTGCTGTTCCCGACTCTGTGTTTCCTCTGGCAGTGGCCCCAGCTTATTCCCACTGTGAGGAGCAGACCTCATGGCTCGGCGGGCACTGAAGGGCACGTAGGTGTCCAGGGTGGACAGTCTGCCCTCGATGGGTAATTTGGCTTCTGAGATCAGGAGCCAAGGAGGAGGTGGACGTGGCAGCTGGATTTACAGGGAGTACAAGCATGATTCTTTATCTCAAGGCCTGCCCAGAGTTAAGAGGGTTACTAATGAGATCAAGGACAAACACGGCAGCTTGTTCTAGGATCTCGATCTCGAATGTCCCATGGTTGAAAGGAGGATCCTAAGATCTGGGAAAAGACCAGCTGGAGCTGGCTGCTCCAGCTCTGGCTCCCTTCCTGCCTTCTTCCACCCCTTGCTCCAGGATTCTGGCCCTGAGGAGGGTGAGGGACACGAGATCTGCTGACACAGGATGTAGGTGTCCTGGCTGGTGGGGAGCATGAGGGCCAGGGCTCCTCCCACCCACCCTAATTCTCTGGAGCTGTTTACACTTTTCTCTTTGCCTTTTCTACATTTTTATAACTTTGTGGGACTCAGGGTCGAGCAGGGCAGAGGGAGGAGTCGGGTGCTGCTGCTGCCTCGCCCGATGAGGCTGGTGGTTGTGGGCCAAGGTGGGCACTGGTTCCTTCTGTCCCTTTGTCAGCTCCTCCCAGAACTCCTGGGAAGGCCTCCCAGGTGTCCTCCCTCCCTCCCTGGGCTGCCTGAGGAGGAAGAGGGGAGAATCAGTGCATCCTTCCTTCAGGATGGGTTTGCAGTGGGGTACAAGCTTACCGTGGGCACCCAGTGTCCACTCTGGTTTGGTTTGGAAGGTGGGGACATGGAGCAGCAAGTCAGCCCAGTACTTCTGTGAGGGTGCCTGAGGACAGGAGCCAGTGTGAACTGGGGAGTGAAGCTGGGCAGAACTTGCCCCTACCATTGAAGTGGTGGCCCACTCCTGGTTTATGGCGGAGGTAGAATTTTGGCAGGAGCAGAAGCCTTAGGCTCAGAGCCTGCTTCCCTTTCCTTGTGCTCCTAAGGCCCCAGCTCAAGGCCTGAGTCACACACTCTGTTAGGGGTCCTACTACTTGATCCTCTGCTGGGACAGGAGCACAAGCTACCCATTCTCCCATAGGCCCGACTTCTGTGGCTTTGGAGTGAAGAGGTCAAGAGTTGGGGTGCTTCTGTCCATCTATGACCCTTGCCCTCCACCAGTTTCCAACCCTCATACACATGTGCCCCTCAAGTGCAGCCAGTGCTGTCTTCCAGGGGAGGGGGAGAATGGCTATCCTGAGATTGGTTCTCGGCAGAAATGAGAGTGGGCATGGTGAGCCATGGTAGGTGACTGGTCACTTACTTCATCTAATGCTGCCTGAACGGGAGAAAATACCTCTTGTGCTTGCTAATGTGTCATGACTCGGCGTACCAGGGCCTCACTGCTGGGAGGTCGGGAAGGGGTTAGCTTGCCTACCCAGGCAGCTGTCCAGGCCCATCTCCTGCTGCAGGTCACTGGGGTTTGTGTGCTCAGGCTACCCTCCACCCACAAGGCCCCTGATTCCTTGCCTTATCCGACCCACTCTGTCAGTGCATCACCTTCTCCTCTTTGTCTCATCCCCCAGTACCCTACATTCTACCCCCAGCTCATGATGGATGCCTAATCCAGGAAGCAGGTTCATTCAGTACAGTTCCTTTTTGCTCAGGGCCCTGGGAAGTTCAGAAAGGTAAACTAAAGCAGCTTTCTTTCCTCCCTCCTTTTCCCAACGAAGCCAAATGGTCCCCGACGGAAGATGATTAAAGAGCTGAAGGAACTAGTAGGGTTCACACATGACTGGGGCTTGGTCCCCTGGGTGCTGCCACATCACAGCAGAGTCAGGTGGGGTCTGCCTTTAGCTAGGCACTCCACCCCCTTCAAGAGGGAGAAGACCTGAGGAGCTGGCCTGGGACCACTTTGGACTCTTCTGGAGGGAGGGACTGCCTCTCTGGTGCTGGGGGCAGGGTGCATGGGGGTTTGCTTCTAGCCTATTTTAAGGGGAGGGGTGGGGCATGTGCAGGAAAAGGCTGGGGGGTGGGGAAGGGTCGCTTTTCCTTTGGGGTTAAAGGCTGTGCGGCACGTTTTACAGCAGCTCTGGAGCAGAGCTGTTTTTATATTCTTGTGAATGAAATTGCTCTTGCTAAATGATTTTTTTAGGGGGGGTGCACTTTCATTTTCAACTGAATTTATTAAATGAAAATCCGAACCTTCCATTCCTCCCCTTCCATTGTCCCCTCCCCCCCCTCCCCACCTTCCTTCTTATCCTCTTGCTAAGGAGGGGATCTTGAGGGTGGATTCATTATCTTACCCTTGCACCCACCCGTACATCCCACACTGTCTTCCAGGTCTGAGACATCTCCATTTTCATGGCCAGTCTTAGCATGTTTTCTTAATGTGACCTTCTCACCCAGGCCCGAGAGAGATTCTATGACATATATTACAGAGAGAATTCTATATAAATATATAAATATTATAGATTATATACACACGGGCATGGGCTTGGATGCTCATTGCCAATCTCCCTACCCAGGCTCAGCATCTGTCCCTTGGCCTGGGGAGGTGGACGGGATGCCACAAGGCTGGAGAAGGCCAGAGCCTGTGTTCAACTACACTAAACAGACTGTGGTGGTACCCTCTGACTTCAAGTGTCTTATTTGGGGGACGGAAGAGACTGGGCACAGGGGAGGGGCAGGAGGAGAATGCTGGGGAGAGGACACAACTGCAGAACTAAATAAGGTAGGCAGGGAGGGAGGGTAAGGAGCCATGCCCTGGGGTGAGGAGCGGAGGTTCTGGATGCTCGGCGCACCTGGCATCTCTTTCAGGAAGGCAGGCTGAGGCATGCTCCACAGCCAAGGAGGAGGATATGACTGCCCCAAGAGTGGGAAGCACCAAAACAGCCTGCCATTTTCAGGGTGCCCTTGAACTCCACACCCCTAGAAGAATCCAAGGAGCTGGTCTAAGAGGGGGCCAAGGATGTCAGAGAGACCCCAGCCTTGGTTCTTAGCAGCAGCTCTAGCAGAGGGTTCTAGGGGAGAGATGACCCTTGTCAGGACAGGTCAATCACTACAGTGGGGTAAGGGAAGATCCATTTTGTAGGGAGGAACCTGGAAACAGAGGGCAACAAGGAAATGGGGCCTTCTGCTAGAGGGAGTCAGGCAATACCATGGAGCCAACCATGTTATTTGACAGTAAGATACCTGCCCCTTCCATGTGGACCCTTTAGCAACCTTTTCCAGGCATCTGCCCTTGATGGTCTTTTGACACTTTTAAGTCACTGCTTGAAGCAGGGGACAGAGGAAGGGAGGTGTGGTTGGCCTTTCCTGCTCTAGCAATGACCCTAGAGATAGGCAGTGGATAGGATCTGGTGGCACATGGTTGGAGCAGATATGTGCAAGCTGGGGCTTCCAGAGAAGCAGCTGTGGACAGTCTGAAGACACATTCTGGGGTGATCTGTCCACAAGGCCAGGAGGTAGTCCTATCTCCCTCTCCAATATGGCTCTTGCAAGGCCACCATCATTCTGGGCCATTGCTTAGTCTCCAGCTTTGGAAACAAAAGGAAAAGCAAGACCAGGAAGGTGCTGGGACAAAAGCACTGGGGAATTGAAAGGTGGTGAGGGGAGGCAGGGACCCCATCCAGACAACAGGAAACCCCAGGAAGACCCATGGGATATCAGGGGACCTTCCTGGGGATTAGAAACACCTGCCTGGGGAATGGAGAAGTGTCTGAATAATTGACCCAAACTCTTCCCTGCCCCAGTTCCAACTCCTCCTTTAAGAACATCACATTTTAAAATTTCTGGGAGGGGCAAAATACAGGTGTGCCCTTCAGGACACCCTGCCCACACAAGTCCACCCTCTGGCGTGGGCCTCTCAGCAGTCGCTCAAGGGCCTGGAAGGTGGTCAAAGGATCAGTTCATCTTCATCCTCCTCATCCGTGGATCGCAGACTGGGGCCCTGCAAGATGTCAGCCAGCTCCTCTTCTGGTCCTGGGCTCTCCACCAGCTCCAACTCCTCCAGCTCACCCTCTGCTTTGGCTAAGGCCACGGGGCGAGGGGTCTCTGGGGATGGGGGTGGCACAGGAGTCTCTGGGGAGGCAGGAGCCACATCCCCAGCTCCAAGGACTCCAGCTCCATCCTCGGGCAGGCTCCAGCCCTCTGCAGAAGGCGGGGGTCCCCCAGGGCTCTTTCGAGTTGAAGTTGTGTTCCGGAAGCTGGCAAGGGGAGGGCGGAGCTGCACCCCAGATTTGGTGTGGCCCTCAATAGCCTTCTGTAGCTGGTGAGGAGTAGGAGAGGGAAAGAGGCACAAAGTAGGAAAGAGAAAGATGAGGGCAGTGGGGGAGAGACAGGTGAGAACAGACACACAAAAGGAAACAGTAATGGGAAAGAAACAGAGGGGCAGGGAAGGAGAAGTGGAAAGACAGACAACAGGAACAAAGGAAGGAGACAAGGAGGAGACAAGAGCATGACTGACAGCTCTGCCTGTGGAGCGGCAGTGACTCTCCAGCTCCCCTGACTCGGGCCCTCTGTTGACCCTTCCTAGTGACTTTCTTAGTCTCATCCACCTACCTCTTTCCCTCCCATGGCACACTCTTTGAAATGTGACTCAAGCCATCAGTGGAAGGTGATGTGGGGTCTCACCTGGCGTGGAGAATCCTGCCCCCCTTTGCAACTGTAGCCATGATAGGCTTTGTACCTCCCACTGGTTGCTCCCCCCACTTCCTCCAGTCTCTGAGTGAGAAGTGGAGAAACCTGGAAGGACTTCCAAGATATCCATACCATCCCTTCCTCACTCGTACCCCCTTGTCCTATGCACATCTGCCCCTCTGCTCCTCACGGGGGACCCATCATTGTCCATTACCTCTTCCAGTGCCAGGACACCCCTGAGCTTTCCCATGCTGGTCACGTAAGCAAGATGGAGGCCGAGAAGCGAGAAGAGGGTGTGAGTCTGAGTGGGGAGAGCACAGGTCAGTGCACCCCGCACACCTGCCTGTCCTCCCTGCAGCCCTGAGCAGCCAGCAAGGCCTTGCCTTGTGCAGGGTCGTTTGCTCCACCAGCTGGAAGGGAGACTGGTCGATACAGCAGCAATCGAAACAGACAGGCTGGCTCAGCTGTTCCTGCTCCCAGGCTTCAATCTGTCAGGCAGAGTAGGACCATCGCCAATATCACAGAGGCCCAGCTTTGACCCGAACTAGCCTCCTTGTCCCTGCTCAGAACACTGAAACACAGGTGAACCACTACTGACCCTTGTTCCCAGAGGACAGTGCCTCTCTCTCTCTCTCTCTCTCTCTCTCTCTCTCTCTCATCAGGCCCTAGACCCACCCTGCACTCTTGGATACCAAGAAAAGGGTTCCTTCTTCTAGTCTCCCAAGCCCTCATCCATGGGACCCCAAACACTGACTTCCGACCTGTCTTTCCAGCCTTATTTTCCACTATTCCCATAGACCCCCTGCTCCAATCAAACCCAATCGCTTTCTGTTCTTCAAATGCACCTTCTGGTTGTCTTTGCTGTTCTCACCACCTGGATTCTGGCACCAACCCCCTCCCCACATCATGTCATTCCTGACTTTCCCAGCCAGACGTACTGTCCTTCTTTTTCTTCCCTGTGGAGCTCTGCAAGTCTTTCCTTTTCAGAAATGGCATTGGTTATGCTCGCCCTTGCCTGGCGTTTGTCTTTCCTCTGCCTACCAGACACCTGCTCCTTGATAATGTTGCACGCACAGATTGCTATATACATGAAGAAATTAGCACAGCAACCTCTGATGAAGTCAGTCACGCTGAATATGTATTGAATTTAAGCAGACTGGCATCTCATGGCACTCAGGTAACTTGAGGAAAGCTGGTTTTAGTTTGTTAGTTTTTGAGTTTGGTCTATGATAGGAACATTGAGGCACAAAGGCCAGTATAATAATCCTTTTTTTTTAAACTGGGGATCAAATGCAGAGCTTAAAGATGCTAGGCAAGCACTCTACCTCTGAGCTACATCTTCAGTCCTTTTTACTTTTTATTTTGGGTCTTGCTAAATTGCCCAGGCTGGCCTCAAACTTGCCATACTCCTGCCTCGGCCTCCTGAGCTAAGGTTACTGGCATTCTAGCCTGGCTCCAGCAATTCTCTTGACATTAGATAAACAAATTGGAAACTCCAAGATTACAAACGAACCGTTATGTCATAAAAGGACCTAAGAGTTTCTAAAATTGTTCTTCAGTCTGTATTCTCTGAGTGATGTAGTGCTTTACCTACTTATTTCCCTTTTTGTCCAAATCTGTACCTCTAAGCTTCGGAGAATAACAACAAAGGCTGTCACTGAATTCTAGGGTCTAGTGTGTGGCCCACAGAGAGGCTCCCTCCATCTGTCCTTTCCTGAGGCTCCTGGACAGTGACAGTCATGCCTCCTCTAAACTCCTGAATAAAGGTTCCTACAAGGTTTAACCTCAGCACAGGATGGACGAGCACTTAGCAGGACTGCTGCAGGCAGGATATATTACAGGATGGATAGGGTGGGTCCTGTCCTCTTCCATGATAATTTCTGGCCTGCTCAGCTTCCTTTTTTGCCTCTCCAGCAGCAGTAATACACGCACTTCCTCTGTGCCAAGAATCATTCTAATTGCTTTACGTGTCTTAGCTCACTGAATGCTCCCCCACAACCCTATCTTCATCTTCACGTTGCAGATGAGGAAGCAGAGGCACACAAGTGCCCAAGACTCCACAGTCAGCAATGGGTGGAGCCCGGCTTCTAGAACTGTGTGCTGACCAAGGTACAGCCCCTGTTTCTGTGTAAAGGGAAGAGGATGCTGCTGTAGGGTCTTGCAAAAAGTTCAGCATCAGTTAGAAACCAGACCTCTAACCGTGTATACTCTAAACAGAATATGCAGATTTGCTGGGACATTGAATGAATTCTTACCATATTGAATTATTTTCATAATTCCCATAGTTCCCTTATATTTTTTGTCAATACCAACATCTTGATATTGCCAAGGTTGTCATCTCATCTGATTTGATATGAGAAATGTGTTCAAAATATCCTGAATTTGTACCTTATCTTTCCAAAATACCTCCATAACTTGTCACATGGGAGTGGGTAGTTTCTTAAAGTTTTCCTTGGGAAAGACAAGCTAGAAATATATGATCTATCTTCTTTTTATGTCTGGCTGAACTTTATTTCCAACAATCATTAAAAAAGCCATATTGATCAGCTGGGCATGGTGGTGCATGCTTGTAATGTCAGTGACTCTGAAGGCTGAGGCAGGAGGATCAGGAGTTCAAAACCAACCTCAGCAATGACAAGGCACTAAGCAACTCAGTGAAACCCTGTCTCTAAATAAAATACAAAATAGGGCTGGGGATATGCTTTAGTGGTCAAGTGCCCCTGAGTTCAATCCTCAGTATAAGAAAAAAAAAAAAAAAAAAAAAAAAAAGACCACATTGATCAAATTAGCTGTCTTTCATTAATTAATTAATTAATTAATTTACTGTGATACTGGAAATTGAGCCCAGGGGCACTTTACTAGTGAGCCACATCCTTTTTTTTTTTCTTTTAAAACTTTGAGACAGGATCTCACTAAGTTGCTGAGGCTAGCCTCAAATTTGTAATCCTCCTTCCTCAGCCTACAGGGTCATTGGGATTATAGACATGTGCTACCACATCCAGCTCTGGTTTTCACTTTTTGGTACAATAAAAGCATATGTATTTATATTATCGGATTTAGGAACTTAACAAAATATTCCTAAAATGCAGTCATAGCCCATCTGATTCCTTTTTGTGTCCCAAGGAAGGTTTCTTCTCTTGCCTCTGTGATCATCTATTTAACTTTTCCGCAAGTCATGTATCAGAAGGGCGTGTGTTTGGAGGAGTGGCAGGGGAGAAAGGGAAGGTTTCTTTTCTTTCTTCCCACCAACCCACAACCTCCTCCTCTGAGCCTGCAGTACTTCTGATATGCAGCACATACTCATTGTGGATGTCCAATAAGATGTTTATTTTAAAATAGAACCCACCATGGCTTTTTGTCAGCTACCCACTTTAAAAGCTCTGCCTCTTCAGGATTTGCAGCCAGCCTGTACTCTTCTATGCTACACGAAATAGTTGCTAATGGATTTTTTTGCTCCTCTACAACCCCTAGGGCCTGTTTTGATCAGGCTCCCAACCACTGCTCCACATTCTGTTCTCTCCTCACAAACAAGCACAGTCAGTATTGGGTTTTCTCTGGAGGACTTGGTAACTGCCTCTTTAGGAGATAGGCACCTGTCCCCACACATGATTTGTCTTCCATTTGCAGATCCCAGACTCACTGTCTGACAGTTTCAGGGCCTGATGGGTCTAGTACCATATCCACCACCAGGGCAGATTCATCCATGATAGTTTTAATGTGGTTCTTCTCCATCCTTGCGGTTAGAGCTGGATCCATGGTGCCATTTTACTTCAGTTAAGTGCCACCCTTCTGAATGGCCTTTGCCTGGTCTAGAATGTCCCTTAACTCCAGAAGATTCAAGGCTCATCTTAGTACCATGGCCCCATCTTCCCACAGAGGCTCAGAACTTTAACAATTCTGTTCCTCAGAGAATACTATTGGGCCCATCACATGCTCCCTACTCTCCACAATTATACCTTACTCCCACCTCTCAAAATGCTTCCTGTCTAGGAAGCATTGTTTTATCCTTAACAATAACACAATGAAGAAAGTAGGGAAAAAATCATCAATACCTCCATGGGGCAGAACAATCCACCCAAGGTTGCAGCTTCTCTTACTTACCTCTTCAGGTGACATGTTATCCACCAAATCTGTTGAATCCTAGAGAAGAAAGACATGAGTCAAGGTCTTTTTCTTCTCACACTAGCAACGGTTTCCCATGAAGCAGGAGTCATCTCTTCCCGGCCAAGGCCACAGAAACCTCCTTTCCAAGTCATCTTCCCCGCAGGCATCTCTACCCCTGTTTATGGACCATGGTTTCCCACTTCTCAAAGACAAGATCCCTTTCCCCTAGTCCCTGTGAACACATCTCCTTTTACCTGGGTTGTTTTCTTTTTTGCAGGGCGAGCTCTGCCCAGCAAGCAGCGTAGCAGGCAATGGAAGATGGAGAATCTTTGACCTGAAAGGAGTGGTGCATAGAGAGAGGAAATGGCCAGGGGCTTCTGAGCGGTCCCTGACATGTGCTACCACATCCAGCTCTGGTTTTCACTTTTTGGTACAATAAAAGCATATGTATTTATATTATCGGATTTAGGAACTTAACAAAATACTCCTAGTTTGTCACCAAAGGACTGCACTTCCCAGGTGACTCATTTCTGTAGACACGTCTCTTCCACCTCTGCCCCTGGGGGCAGTAATACGGAAAATTGGGCAATAAGACCTCCTCCCGCCATCACCAGTCGCATACCTCCTCATAGGAGTAGGCCTTAGGTGGTGAGCTCAGACTCAACCCAAGGCCTGAGTTAGGGGTATGCTAGGAGGTCTTCACCTGCAGGTTCGGGGCCTTCCAGTGACTGCTTGTGGCTGGGCAGGGGTCCATTGGGCTCTTCAGGGGCGGATGGAGCAGCAGGAAAGGGGGGAGGAGGAGGAGGAGGAGGCAGCTGAAAGAAATAACAAAAATTCTCAGCCTCAGAGAAGAGACCTCCCTGCCTTTCCCAGTGGGTGTCCTGGGAAATCTAACTTTTCCTCCCGGTGGCTCAGGTTCCTGCATCCCTTTGAATTCCCATCGACAGTCACCTACAACCTTATCTCCTTCAGGGACTGGACTCAGAGGACTGCCTTTATTTCACCCAATCCAGAATTCTCAGTCATCCATCCACATTTGGTCTCCCATCTCCTAGTTTCCCTGCACCAGTCACGGTCCAGCCCAGCCATCGCCAAACGGTGGAGATGTCGCTAGCGACCCCTGCCGACAGCTTTCTTTCCCTTCGCCCCCTCGGTCCGGCTCCCCCTGGCCCTTCCAGGCTCATCACCTCGGTTTTCCCTGAGAGGTCCTCGTCTTCATCCTCATCCACAAAGGCGAAGGACTCGGGCCGCCCCAGGGGCGCGCCGCCAGGGAGCCCCTCCCCTGCCAGCCGCGCCTTGCCGTCGTAGGGCAGCTCGGACAGCTTCCGCGCCATGTCCTGGGCAGCTCGCAGCCTCCGCTCCGGACAAAGGTGGCGCTGCAGGAGCGACTGCAGCTCTGAGCGCTCCACGGAGCCCAGCAGGATCATTGAATCTGGGGGGAACCCACGCTCAGCCTGGGGGCTGCTCCGGACTCTGCTCAGCTACCTGGCACAACTGAGCCACGGGAGCAGAAACCCAGTGTCTGTTTTTTTTTTCCTCTCCAGCCCTCTCTTTCTAAAAACTCATTTCAAAAATCCTCCAGGGTTGACCTCACTCCATCCCTTCTATTTCACACATTTAGCACTTACAGGCCCAATTGGTATCACATCAATTGGTGCAAAAGTGTACTTATTTGGATGCTGTCCTCATATAGAATGTTTGCAAATAGAGGAGCTCAGTATTAAAATGGATCAATCAACCCTGTCCAATAGAATAATCTGTGAAAAGTCATTCAAACAGGCTATGACCTGAGCACACTTTGAAAGAAGTACAAACAATGCAAGCACGTGTCTTCTACTCTGGAAGAAGGGAAACAAGGACACAATTATACCTTTCACATTTGACATGCCATCACTTAAACTGGGTCCTTCTAGACATAAATAAATGCCTACTTTTTCTGGAAAGGTCAGGATATGTTTACAGAAATTCTGCTATAATAATTAACATTTCCATTAAGTTTTAAGGTCATAAAATTGTAGCAGTGTTACTGAGATAAATTGTGCTAAGTCTCAGTTATTACAGTGAAAATCCTGCACCTCATGGGCTATACCTTTACACCAAGATCCATTGCTTTATAACATAATAGAACCTGCCTTAGTTTAGAGAAAATGTTTAAATTGAGAAATTTGGATATTCTGATTATTTGAAATCAGAACTAACAATCTTAATGGCTCCAAATAGCTCCACCTGATGTTTCTCTATTGCATAATTTAAACACTCACTAGAGAAGTATTTATTGAATATCTAGTAAATATTTAGGACAAGGCATGCTGGAAAGTCAGAAGCTATAGGTTGTCTTCCTCATTATTCCTTAAAGGTAGACACTATTCTACCTTTAAGGAATAGTGAGGAAGACAAGACATAAATATATAAACCACAATAAAATAATACAAAGTAGGATGAGCTACCAAATCTGGGCAAGAGGTATGGTGAGGGAAGAGATATGTGAAGTCACTGTTTACTAAAACCATTCATTCCTCCCTAGGGAACAGTTTCATCTCTTCCTTAAGTTGAACATTAAAGAACAGGTGTGATTTAGTTAAGTAGTAAGAGGCTATGATTCTCATTATTCATGTATTTCCTATTTGTGAATTCACCTACTCCCTAAAGTACATTTGTAACCCCATATCAATATTAGAGGTGCTTTTGCTGTAATTCACAGACACATACAGAGGAACAAAATATTTAAGTTTCCCAATGCTCATGTCCCCATCTGGGGTGGAACAAAATAGGGCTTAGCTTTCTCCTTTCAGCTTGAGTATTGTAAATAAGGATTCTTTTTTGCAAGCTTCTTAAAGCCATGATTTTTGCATCTTCAAGCTTTGTATTGGTGATTTTGCTGCTTAAAATGACCCCCAAACATAATACCATGGTGCTGAAGTGCTGTCTAGTGTTCCTAAGCACAAGGAGGCTGGGATATGCCGTACGGAGAAAGTATGTGTATTAGGGTAAGCTTCGTTCGGGAATGATTACAGTGCTGTTGCCACAAGTTAAATGTTAATAAATAACAAATATCTATTAAATAAAGCACCTTTAAACAGGAACACATATAATATAAGTTTATATGCTGATTAGTTGACAAAATACTGACCAGAGTCTCTAAGGAACCTATTGCCATGTTTCCCCTAGGGGCAATTGTTCAGTATAGTGCTCACTAATTCTGGGCTCATGGTGACTTTATAGAACAGAAGTGCCTCCAACAATAAGAATCAACTGTATTTATTTAACTGGATATTTGACCACTTCCTCACTGACCTTTTCCTCTAGGAAGATCAAGATCCCTATGAGTCCAGGCTGGGCCTTCCACAGCAGGAGGGTGGCTGTATAGGCAAGCCTGCTCAACAGAGCCACCTCTGCCTCTGTACAACCCCAGTTTAGGTCACCAGCTCAGAAGTCTGCTTCTTTCCTTCCCACTAACCTTTTGAATCCACCAGTGGTAAAGTCTTGACCGTGGTTGTCTGGAGCAGGTATCGTAATTCCCCGTATGTGCAAGAAGCGGAAACAAACTTCACATCACGTACCATGATGTCTTCAACGAAGATTGTAAATTTGCTATGGAGGGAGAAAGCAGGGTGGGTTGGCCCCCACACACATGCCTATGCCCTTGCTGTCCCTTCCATTCCTCCCTTGAGGTTTGCCATGCACTAGTCACTCACAGTATTTATTAGTACATGGAAACACAAATATAATTAAAAACAGTGCTTCCCAACATTGACCCTGATCTCCATCTCAACCTCAGAGCCCCCTCTCCCTCATCAACTCTGTGCTAATTCCAGGTAGTGTCCCTGACCTGAGCTGGTTCCAACCAAGGTCAGGCAAGTAGGGTAGCTTCTTGACCTGGATGATGCTGTCATAGAGGGAGGGCTGCAGGCTCTGAGCCACCATGTTGGCCAAGATAACAGCTACCATCATGGGTAGGATGTGAGCAATTTGACCAGTTAACTCAAAGCAAATCACAGCTGTGGAAACTGTGTGGGACACGGCACCCGTCAGCGCTGCTGCTCCTAGAATGACATGGGAAAGGATCAGTAGGTTAAGGCAGCCATGGTTGGCAAGGACACTTGGGGATGTGATGCGAATTATACAGAATGAGAGACGGGACCTTGGCAGTGCCAACATTCCTGAGATAACAATTTGTCAAGTGTAGAGCTAGAATGCAGACCTGTTAGAAATCCATCCTTTAGACCTTGTTGTGTAATCTTCAGTAAGTCACAAAATTGTTTTGTGTGCCAAGATTTTAATTTACAAGATGAAGGTAGTAATGTTCAATCTATTCTTTGTTTTTGAAAGTTTGAATCTTTTTTTTTTGGTACTGAGGATTGAACTCAAGGGCACTCAACCAGGGCTACATCCCCAGCCCAAGCCCAATTTTGTACTTTATTTGGGGACAGGGTCTCACTGAGTTGCTCAGCAACTCACTTGCTGAAGTTGGCTTTGAACTCATGATCCTTCTGTCTCAGCCTTTTGAGCCACTTGGATTACAGGTGTGTGCCATCATGTCCTGTGAAAGTTTGGATAATTTTTAACTGAGCACTTTATTTTTCAATTTTATATATGTATGTATATATGTATGTATGTATGTATCTATCTATCTATCATACCTGAGGTGTTTTGCCACTGAGCTATATTTCCAGCCCTTTTTAAATTTTGAACTAATTTTTTATCCTCTAGAGTTGCTGATATGATAGGCGTATGCCACTGCACCCAGCTCCATAATTGGTTTTTAAAATACTATGTTAAGCTGGGTGCTGTGGCATATGCCTATACTCCCAGAAACTCTGGAGGCTGATGCAGAAGGATCACAAGTTCAAAACTAGTCTCATATCTTAGCAAGTCCATATCTCAAAATAAAATAAAAAGGGCTGGGGTGTGGCTGGGTGGTAGAGTGTTCCTGGGTTCAATCCCCAGTACCAGAAAAAAATTTCTGTAATAAAATCATGATGGTATTTTACCATGGGCCTTGATGCCAACAATTAATGAAAACCCAAGAATCGTTCTATGGACTTGGAGCAATGAGACCTGATCAGATCCTGATTCTATGCCTCAACTGTATGAACAGAGATTAATTTCTCTGTAATCCCATGCTCTCACCTGTATAGTGAAAGCATCCTTAAATGATTTCTAAAGCTGTTGCCGATTCAAAAATGTTATGATTCTATGAATCTATCTTGCTTAATTTTTTAAGTTGTTTTCTCCTCAATCCAAATAGTCCCTCCTGCACTGACCACATTTTTTACTTAAATATAAATATTAGATAGCCTAAGGTAAAACGTTGGGATGGTATATGTGAAAATGGAACAAGAAAAAGTCACAGAGGGAAATATTGGGAGGAATGACACTACTGGGTGATGCATCCAACATACTTCAGAACATTGTCTATCATAGGACACATAAACTGGGAAATGTCCACCAGGGAGGATGGGGAGGGACACCTGAGAGGCACGAAGATAAAGGATAAGAATAGTTGACTCTAAGGGATGAGTGGGTAAAGAAAATGTGGTGTATGTACACAATGGAGTTTTATTCAGCCATAAATAAAAAATGAAATTATGTCATTTGCAGGAAAATGGAGGAATTAGAGACCATTATGTTAAGCGAAATAAGCCAGACTCAGAAGGTCAAGGGTCATGTGTTTTTCTCTCATGTGGAAACTAGAGAGGAAAAAGGAACAGAAAGGTGGAGGAGGGAATCTCACAAAAAATGAAGGGAAATCAGTAAAATAGAGGAAAAGGACCAGGGGGAGGGAGAAGGGAAGAGAAAAAGGAAATATGGGGAAGGATATTGGCCAAATTATATTGTGCGAATGTGTGACTACGTAATAACAAGTCCCACCATGGTGTATAACTAGAATGTACCAATAAACAGTATGGGAAAAAAAAGAATCCTTGACTCTGAGTGACAAAAGGAAGACATTATAATGAGACTGGGAGCAAGGTACTACATGAGCCACAAAGCTGGTTGGTGCTTCTGGATTTGGGTGAAGAGGGGAGGGTGGGAAAATGCATGATGATCCTGGGGATTATATCAGTCACTTTGATGGCTCCATCCCAGAAGTCACTTCAGAGTAAAGGAACTAAGGCTCAGGCAGCTTTCTCCATGGCTGTCCAGGTAACAAGTAGCAGGGAGAACCTAGAGCTCATGTCTCTCAGCTACCGCTCCTGTGTCCTTAGTCCTTATTAACATTAGCCCCTTTCAGATGGAGTTTACCTGAGCCAGTCACCTGCTTTATTGGTTCCATGATTCTTAGGAAGGAAAGAAAAAAACCCTCACTGAATATGCAGACAGGATCCAAGATGTTTCACATTTAGTCCCCATTATCCCTCATCCACATGAGGAAACTAAGGCCTGCAGAAGTATAATAGGAGCTGGTGTCAGAGCCAAGGGTTGGTTATTTGCACAGAAGTTGAATTAGATGGCCTCAAATTGAAACCATATTGTGTACATTGCAATGAAGATGTATTCGGAGAGTTTGATTGTGGGAGTTTGGGGTACCCAATGTTTGTTACCAGAGGATGGGAAGTTTCTCACCAATAACTGCATAGCCCCCAGGAAGGATCTTGTAGATGATGTCATCAAATAAGATACCTTCAGGGAACAGCATGGCCATTATCTCTCCTACCAATCTTCCAAATGCAGCTCCTAGTGGGAAGATAAAAGAAGGAACGTGCTGTGAAATCCAAGTTCTTTATTCTCCCTGTTTTCAGGATAATCTCTCATGAGTGTTAAGGGCAAATACAAACTTCCAGCATCTCAGGTTCTTTCTTGATTCTCAGAACCCTAGATTGCAGCTACCAGTTTGATGCCATCAGAACTTACCTAGCACAAACACAGGCATGAAGCCTCCACAAGGTATGGGCATAGTGGTGGCCACGATGGACATCCAAAACTAGGGTAACAAAGAAGTATTAGAATCCCCTCTCAACTCTGCCCAACACACACATTCACACACACACTCTCACTCCTTGTGGTCCTTCCGACCTCAAGAGTCATCACAGAAATCCAGGGATAGCTAATCCTCTGGAAGCCATCTTGCCTGCCATCTTTTCTACAAAACCAAAAACTTGGTACTTTTGGGATGAGAGATTACAAAAGACAACAGGATAAGAAAGTTCCTGCAGAGGGCTAAACTAAATCCCTCCTACTTTGAATGACTGTTTCCCTTTTGACAATCTGTAATCAGGAATAGAGCCCCAGAGGACCCCCCTTTCAAGCCCCAAAGACCCTGAGCCCACTGTACTCACTTAACCCAGACAGTTCACCTCTAGAGCAGCCTGAAACTCTTAAAGCTAGATTTATTTTCCTGGTCAGGTAATATTTCTGAAAAGGAGCCCCAGCTCTAACTGGTAAGCACTTAAGTCCTAGTGACTTATTGCATAATGAATTTAGCTTCCATGTGTCTTTACAAAGCCCCCCATATGGCGAACCTTACAGAGAAACCTGAAAGGAAGACTGTTTGGCCTGAGCTATTTGCTTTGAAAAATTAGATCTGGGGACGGAGATGTTTTTCAGTGATGGAAAATGTGCTTAGCATATGTGAGGTCTTGGCTTTGTCCCCCACCACGCACACACAAAAAATCAACCTGTCCTGAATGTTCTGAAAGGATGAAGCAAGAGCCCAATTAGGCAGCCAATACAATAGAAAAGATCTCCAAGGTCAACTTCATAAGGTAGTATTCCAAAAGAAATTGGGACAATTTTAGCTAAAGCAGTATGCACATTCTAAGGCAAAGAATACAAATGAACTGAGAAACAGAATGAAAAGAAAATAGTGGTTGAACATTTGGAATATCTGCAGAAGAAATAAAGGCATGAGACTAATATAATAACTCAGCAACAGGTTTATGATTGCTTCCAAAATAAGTAAGCCAATTCTAGATAAGGATCTCAAACTAATTAGGTGCAAGATGGTAACAGCTAAAGGTCAAAACAAACTGCCATGATTAAAGGATTCACATTTTTTAAATTGCTCCAACTGCACTGCAAACTAATGAGAAATAAAATTTTTAAACTTCTGGACCTTAGAAAGATTTCCCATCAGTCAAGGCTGAATTGAAGAGACAGTAACGAAGACTCTGAAGAAGCACAATCCCAGAAGCTCTGAGATGATGCTTAAAAAAGTGTGTTTTGTGAGATGAGACAAAACATACACTTTTTTAAAAAATATTTTTTAGTTGTTGATGGACCTTTATTTTACTCATTTATTTACATGCAGTGCTGAGAATTGAACCCAGTGCCTCACACATGTGAGGCAAGCACTCTACCACTGAGCCATGACCCCAGCCCAAAACACACTTTTTCATGGCAGAATATGTCTATTTAAAACAGTTGAGAACCATAAAGTTAATTGTGCAAAATGAAGAAAATATACACTGAGAATTCCTTTGGGGTAGAGAATGCATCTTGTGATTGCCTTCTCTCACTGGCACAGTGCTCTGTGAAAATTGGCAGGATGGAGGTAGGAAGGAAGGAAAGATGATAGGCTGGTCAAACAGTGTTCATATAAAGCAGAAAAACTATTGGAGCTGAGTCACTAAAATACCTAACAGAGTGATGCTCATCCAGGGGCATTATTTAAAATGCAATGACAAGACCCCACTGGAGGCCATGCATCAGACTATCTGGAGACAAGATTCTAGGTAATTGTAGCTTAAGCTTCTTAAATTATTATGACATTTAATAGTTTGAGACCTCTTGAATTATCATGAACATCTTTTTGGAATAAGTACAACAACACCACAGGGATTTTGAAGGCTCAGGTTAAGCCAAAAGCTCCAGTAATACCGATAATCAATGACCGATATGTCTGATTTCAGAGGATGAACTAGATTATCCTCCAAGATAAGCATAAGAACAAGTTCAGGATTGGGGGGGCAGGACTCTGAAGTTATCAACCTCCATAGCACAAAGAATGACATGAGGTTAGCAAGACTTTTTTTAGCTATTGACACATGAAAGAAAAGATCCAGAACTGATGTGGAACACAACTCCCAAGACTTTAATCACCAATTACAGAGAACTAGGAAAATAGAGACTTATTACCGCAGATGCCACTGCATATAGACTCTTCGTGAGACAGAGTGATATATGATCAGGCAGAAAGAATTCTACAGAGAACATAATGTTCTCAGGCTACGCTGCAAACATATTGATAGTAGGTAGTAAAGTTAGACTTATTTAAAAGGAAATTGAGAAGCTGGAATCACATTCATAATCATTTGACTTATAACACGATGATACTTTCCATGGTTCAAGATGGAGAAAGGTAAAAATTCCCTTCCTCAAAATTATGAAAGAGCTGAACTAAGAACCCCACTTGTTTGTATGACACTGCCAGAAGTCCACAGGCACTAAATTTTAAATCCAACTGTGGAAAAGCAGTTTTATTCACTGCTATGTTTTGCATATGGTGTGAGTGCCCCAAGGTTTTCATGGTTTGAAATTTAATTCCCATTGTGTGGTATTAGGAGGGTGGCAACATGACTATGGTGTTTAGAGGTAGGGCCTTTTAGAACTGGTTAGGATGAGATAAAGTCATCTAGAGTCCTCATGATTAATTCCTGGTGGCTTCATAAGACGACAGAGGGAAAACAAGAGACTGAACACTGAGATACATATGTGCTCCCTTTTGCCACAAAGCGGTCATCACCCAGTGAAGTCACTATTCTTCGGTTGTCCCAAACTGGGGGCCTGAAATAATCTCTTTTCATTACAAAGTAGACTTCCTAGGTATTTCTTTACAGCAATGAAGAACAGACTAATATGATAATTTTTACATTTTAAATTGGCTATGTTTGCTATTTCTCAAACTTTGGAAAAAAGAAGGGCATGGTTGTGAGTCCAATGATTAGGCAGTGAAATGCTGGGAAACATCACGGATTTGTAGCAAGGAGTGCTTTTATGTTTATAAATATTATAGAATATTATGAGCTTGCTGCAAACTGTTGGACTTGAAATATAGCCCAGGAAGTATGTGCTACTTTTTCTGATACATTTATGATGTAAATATTATCAATAATATTTTTTAATTTATTTTTTTATTTTTTTATAATATTGTGAGAAATTAATTACAGCAATATACAATTGAGGTCTTCTATAGCATCCAAATTGGTTTCTCAAAATAAGTTTTAATCTGTGAAGAGCAATCCAGATACATAACTAGAAATCTGGGGAGGTGGGAGGTGAAGGGAAAATGTTGAAAAATATACAGTATATTATTTCTATAAAACTTTTCAAAATCTTGACACTTTAACAGTGTATGTAACTCCAAAGTTACAAAGTAACTCAATTTAGAGAGATATCAGAAAAATACAATTATCATCACTGGACAATAAATTCTGAAATATCATCCAAACTGCAATCCACCTACTGCAGATGGACTTGTAGACTCAATGACCAACATGGGGGGGGGGGTTGGATTTATAATTAGAGAAAACAAACTCTGTAATGAAAGTCTAGAAATCAAATACCTAACAAGATGCTGACAACTTCTTTATAACAAAATTCTTAAATATTTTGAAGAAATAAAGAAGAATTAAATTAATAAAGTGTGCAAAATATGGAAGTGAACATTTCAAGTGAACTGGGGGAGAACACACACAAATACTGCCTCAAGAAACCTGTAGCGGATCTTGAGAGTATGAGTTACAGAGTGGAAAGACCTGGTGTGTGAAATACTTGATACTCGTACTTATAATAAGATCATTGAAAAGCACATTAAAGGAGCAGAAAATAAAACAAGAAAGGATCTTTGAAAATAAGTTTTTTCAACTGCAAGCATAAGATTAGCCAAAGATCAATGATCAAATATTACATGGTGGCACATAGCAAGTGTTTAGTAACATTTTTTGAATAAATAAACCTACTGTATTGTAATAACAATATAAATATAACTTAGTGACTTGTGTCCTGGGCAAATATATATTCATAAAATGTTTTAATGAACAAGTTAATAGAAAGGTATTCAAAAACATGAAAGTTCTATATAGGCAGACATACATATGAGAACACTAATATAGAGAGAAAAATGTTGGGTTATTTAAGCAAGACACAGTGTTAGTAGAAGGATAATCATAGAAAAAGGAAAAGAGGCAATCAGCAGTTGTCTAGATGGCACACCAGGGCTGGAAATTAAAAAATGTCTTTGTACAGGGTAATAATTGAGTAGGCTATATATATGTAACCTTTGATGGGCAAGTATGAAAAAGAATGGATATAAAAAAGATCCTAATTGAAGTCAGGAAAAAATGGTTTGAGTTGAAAGATCCTAATAACTTAGCTACCTAAATGAAGAATAATAACATTTATAACAATTATTTATAGTCAGTATTAAAATTAATTTAAATATTTTATCTCTTTTGAAATTCTAGAAAAACGATTACCCATAATCTGGGGAGAAAATCTACGTGCAAATCACCTGAAAAATGAATTGTCAGGGGCTGGGGTTGTGGCTCAGTAGTAGAGTGCTTGCCTAGTAAGTGTGAGGCACTGGATTCAATCGTTAGCACCACATAAAAATAAATAGAGGTATTGTGTCCATCCACAGTTAAAAAATATTTTAAAAAAGAATTATCAGTTACATGGAGAATGAAGTACTAATTATCTAACATGTGGGAGGAATTTGGTTAATTAATGCAAGGTTTCTACACAGCCATCTATATTGCTAAACTCTGTTTACTTGGCTTCTCAGATGCCTTAATAAGAGAACAAGTGGAACCTCTGGAAGGGTGATTATAATTATGTCAAACATCGCGAAATTGATATGAACGGAGCAATTAGCCCAGATCTGGGTTCACTTCTGCAGCTTCTATGATTTCTTCTGTAAGTTCTGAGAAAAACCAGAGAATTTCTGCCCCCTCTTACCCCATGCAAACCCTGGGTACCTAGATTGAAGACACGTTTACCAGGTCTGCAGTCGGGGAGCAGTACCTTCATGATGAAGAAGAGAAAAATGATGATGACCACGTTGACTTGGGGGTGAATCCACACAGCTGATCGGCCCAGACTTTCAGGGTCACCTATGTGTTTTACCCACGTATTGTTGTCAAACAAGGTACTGATGGCTTCGCGAGGCATCAGCTGAGGGGAAGAAGCAGAGCAAGCAGGTTCTCCAGGGAGAGACTGTATTTCCTTTTTTACATGGAGAATGAAGAACTCTTTCCCCAGCCTGTCTGTTCAAGGATCCCTTTTTCCCTTTTCCAGGAGGGTCCACCCATGGGCAAAACTATTTAAGCTTCACAGCCTGAGCTGTCTCCTCTCTTCCTGATTGAGGGACCTAGTCCCTGTGCAGCGACCTGACCTCCAACCCCAAACCCCCAGTCTCCCTAGGGCTGACCTCTCCAGCCATGAATTGACCCATTCCTGGTGGAAAGGTGAGCGAGGCGATGACAAAAGTGACAATTCCAGGATACAGCAGGCGGCTGAAAGAGAAACAGAGTTAACCCTCCCCCCAGCCTAGCCACCCATGGTGAATACCACAAGAACTTTGGCAAGCTCAAGTTTCCTGCAGTCCACTCTAGTCTCTCAGGTCTTTCAACAAAGAGCATTCTCTTTGCCAAAAAAAGTAATCATTATAGAGGAGCCCACACAACTTGCCCTTCCCGCAGTATTCCTGCTCCTACACGCCACCTAGAGGCGTTTACTGCCTTCTACAAAGAGAAAGGGAGGAACTTGAGAAATCAGAACATTTAATGGGTAGGGCAAGGGAAGGGCAGTGACTCACTGCTTAGCAAGAAACTGGCTGAGGGCCTTGTTCTTTCGGACACCAAGCATGACTTGGCGGTGCAGATAGACAAATACGGCTCCCAGGAACCCACAGCAAATCCTGAGGGCGTAAGTTATCGGGTTGGAACCTCACAGGCGTGAAACCCTCATCCCTCCAACCCAGCCACTGCAGGGAAACAAACCCCAGACTCCCTCCTTCCCTTCCACCCACCTCTCCGCACAAGCCACACCTCCCCTCGCCCACTGCACGTCCGGGCCTGGTCCCTTCCAATCCATAGCTTCACCCCACACCCTGCTCACCACACCTAGAGCAGTTGGCCCCACTGACCCGATGACAGCAAAGGCTGGGAGCTCCTTCAGGTCAAAGGGGAAGTCCATTCGGAAGTTGGTTCTGAACAGAGCAGTGATGGTGACTGCAGGATGAGAAGGCAGGGTTCCAGTGGGGGTTCCACCGCCAGCCAGATGGGGGGTGGGCCATCAGGGTTCCTGCCCCTTTGCCCCCAGGCCTGATTTCTCCCTATCTTTGTGATTTCCATTTTTCTATACACAATCACTCCATAGTTGTACTCCCTACCCCATGACCTAGGTCCTTGTTCTATAACCTTGGGCCTGCTTCTAAATTATGCCACCTACTCCTTTCCTAAATTGCCCCCCATGTCCTTTCACCAGCATCCTTATGTCCCAAGGCCTCCACCCAGGGCCTTGCTGTTACCAGCATCCTTGTTCCACACTGCCAGCACGCGGAACACAAAGGCGCTGAATGTGGCTGCAAAGAATCCTCGCCAGTAGTTCCGAACAGCAAAGTAGGTAGAGGTGACCTCGATGCTGAATAGCACTCCTATGGGGACAGGGAAGCGGGATCAGCAAACACTGCCCCACTGTCCCACTGCCCCACTGCTCAGACATGGGGAGTTTTTGCTGAAACTTAAATCTAAATCTGGGACAGGCCAGTGTAGAAAGGAATGATCTCTTGGTGTTGCAGTTTGCACACCACAGGCCTGCCCAGGCTGGAGGAAGAGGTGGGAAATGGATGTGCCCTCTACCCCCAAGCCATAAGGCTCAAGTGGTTGTGTCCTCCCACCCCTTAGTATGTAGGTTTGAGTAGTATGTAGTTCACAACTACTGAATATCAATAGATGTTTAAAGGCAGTTGAAAACACTCTGTAGGAAGGTTAAAAGGAGGAAGCTTCTAGGGCAGGTACTCAGCAGAATTGCCAGGCAGAGCTCAGAATTCACTGGGACTCTCTTGACACTGCCTACCTCCAGGGGCTGGAGTTTGGAGAAGTAAGAAAGCAGCAGGGTATTTACACAAGCTGACAATTCCCAGAAAAGAAAGAGGACTCATGCAAATTAAAACAAACAAACAAAAATTAACATAGAAATCCTGACTGAAAGGGACCAAAGCAAGGGGGGTAACCAAGGCTGGAAGAAGATTAAAAACAATCATACTTAAGAAAGGGTTGTAGTCCAATTAGTAGTCCTCATTAGTACTATTTCTGAGAGTAATCACTGGAGTAGAAAATGAGGAGGGGGATCTATAGAATAAGAGTAAGGGGCGTGGAGACTAAGGAAGGAATTCTAATGAGTTTACAAAAACAGCTTTCAAGAGATTCAAAAGAGATAAACCTTTAAACATATTAAGAGTAAGTGGGTTGGACTTAGTAATACTCTGTCTCAAGATAAAAAAATAAAAAGGAGCTCAGTGGAAGAGCAACTCCAGGTACAAACCCTAATATGAAAATAAATAAATAAGGTTTTTTTTTTTCTTTAAAAGTGGTGGACTTTAATTAGATGCAAAGTAAAACTTGATAACAAAATTAATTAAAACATGGCTAAGTCTCATCTTTAGCAAAAAATGAGGAAGGAGACCCAGCATATAGTAAGATGAATGGAGATGAGGTTCCATTGAACATGGCAAGATTTATCCCTTTTCTTCCCACAATGGATGGTTGGTTATTAGTGTGCCTACAACCCACAACCTGCCTTCCCCTTTGGACAGTATCACAAATGTTAGGAATTTCTTCTCCCTGTTCCTTATCTATAAGTCATATCTCTCAAATCCCACAAGGGCCTCTGCCTCCTCTTCTGCAGGGGACAGTCAACTGGTTACACTGAGTTAAGTGTGCCCAGGGAATGGAGTCCTACGGTGAGCCCCAATGTCACCTCCTCTGGGTAACCACGCCAGCTAGATCTTTTCTTCAGGTAAAAACTACCCATTCTCATCTTACTCTCTCCGAATTTGGATTATTACAGTTCTAGTTATTTGTTCAGATTTATGAAATCAATTTAGTATCTGGCACAAATCAAAGAGGAGTAAGAAAGGGTAAGATGAGGAAGGAAGAGAACAGAACGGAGTGAGTGGTCTCTCAGCAGGCGGCACCAGCCCAAGGGGACCTGGGGCAGCTTTGCTGGCCACTCCTGCTGTCTTGCTCTTCAAATCCCATCAGGGGACGCAGATGCCTTTTGCCTAAGAGGAGGCGTCCCCACAGTGGGGATCAGGTGGAGCAGGGCTCCCTCCTTTCCTCTGTCAGTAACAAAAGCAAAATCAGCTTTGAGTGGCCTCAGTGAAACTTTCCAACTTATTAATATTTTACAACAATTTTTTGAAATCCTGGGCTAGGTTTTCTTTCCTACAGTGTGGATCTGGGACACTTTCCCTAGCAGTCTATCACTGTATGCTCAAGAATGAGAGCTTATTTTAACATTAGCCTGAGCCAAACACAAAATGTGCTTTTAAAAGGAAACAAAGCTTTAAAGAAACAAACTGCTCACCTCTTGGGTCTGGGACACTGCTCTCTTCTACTCTGAATCTTCCTCTATTTTTCTGTGGGTTTCTATGACTCTATCCAACTCAGGGTGTTGTCCTTGGTCTCCCTCTCTTGCTCTCAATTTCACTTTGCCTGCAGTGCCAGCTACACCTACATACCAAGATTAGCAAACCTGTTTTTGGCCCAGTTCCTGGGTTTTGGACTTACCTAGCTAGCTGTCTACTTGGAATTGCTTGGATATGCCACAGGAATGTCAAGTTCAACATACTCAAAGTGATCTTTATCAGCTCCCCAGCTGTTTCACTTCCCACGTCCTCCTCCTTGGTTACTAATACCATTGTTTTGCTGCCTTTGCTGGAAATCCTAGGTGTCAGCCTAGGCCCCTCCTTCTCACCTATCTCTCCAAACCTCACATAAAAGAAATCACCAGGTCACACCCATTTTTCTTTCTACCACTCATATGTATCAACCTCTTCTCAATCTCTTCTACATCTGCCCACTTCAGTCTTTTGTCATCTAGCATTGGGACTATGACAATGGTCTTCTTGTTAATCTTAGATTAATCCTGTTAATCCACAGGCCAATTCTATCCTGCACACATGTGCCAAAGGGATTGGACAGATATGCAAAGCTGGTCATGTCTCTTCCTTCCTCGAAATCCTTCCATGGCTTCAGAGCACTTCCCAAAGTCAGGTCTGTGTGATACAAGTCCCCCAAGACAGTGGCTGCCAAAAGGATTCTGTGGGAATGTTTCCAGCCACATTTGGGGCATTCACCATGCAAGTCAGCATCTCAGCTGTTCTAACAACCCTTCCAGGTTTTTTAAAGAAAAAAAACTATATGTTTAACCAAGCATTTTCCAATGGATTTGGTCTTGAAGCCATTTTTTACCTGTTATATCTATTAACACCATGAAGAACTGTGTTCTGTAAAGTAAATTTGGGCCAATCCCAGTTTAGAGAATAAAACCTACCTTCCTGTGCATGGCCCGTGAAGACCTTCATGGTTCTCCCCATTTACCTTTCCAGACTCGTTTCCTATTTTCCTTTTCCATGCCCCCTAATAGCACTCACCTATATAATGGCAGTTTCCCAGATCTTGACTTTGATGCTATTCCTCTGTCCAGTATACCCTGCCTCACTGTCTTTCTTGTAATTTCCTGCTTATTAACAAAACCTCATATTAAACACTGCCCTTTGTAAAGCCTCACAGGCTCCCCAGGCAGCCTAGGAGTAGGTTCCCACTGCTGCCCAGGCTGCCACTGGGACACTTAATTGGGCTGTGATGATCTGTGTGTCTTTCTTCCCTTTCAAACATGAGCACCCAGCAAGCACAGGACTAAGCATGGTGCCTGACAAATAATGACAGCCAAAAGATGTTTGTCATTTCAGTAGACTACTGAATGATAATCCATTCATTAGTGTAAGGAACTGAGTTGCCTACGTGGTGAATGAATGATCTTAATACCAACTTTTCTTTCAGAATTATTCTATATTCATGAAAAAATAAATCAAGTAATGCCATCTGCAGAGACCTTTAACATTTATCATTTAATACAAACAGCCTGAGCACAGTACCTTCATTTCCAAGTGCTTAATAATTAATTTTTTTCCTTCCTTTTCTTTCTCTAATAGGTGATTGAACCCAGGAGCACACCATCAGTGCCAGAACTACATCCTCAGGCCTTTCATTTTTATTGTGAGACAGGATCTTGCTAAGCTGCCCAGGCTGTCTGTAATCTTTCTGCCTCAGCTTTCTGAATAGCTGGGATCACAGCTAAGTGCTTAACAATTTCTGTGTTCAAAGCAATTATTTGTAACTTTCCTATGGGTTATGCCTTTTCTGTACTCTACACAGGACCAAAAAACCTTTATCATTCACCTCAGAAATTCCGGTTTTACATAGAAAATGTAGATTCTTTACTTTAAAAAAAAAAAACTTGGCTAATAGAAACAAAATTAGAATAACAAAACTTTTTTGTCTAAAAACATTCTTCAGATCTTATGAAGGTTAAAGAGTAAGTAAAAGTGAACATGAATATAGAAGTAAGTGTGAACATGTAACATTAGTAGAGGTTCAAACACAGTGCCCTCCACTGACTAATGACTTCAGTGACTACAGCTGACAACAGGAGTGCAAATGGGTGCCTGCTGGTGTGCTCACCCAGTCTCCCATGCTGCGTGCTTTGGCACAGGGTCAGCACAAGGCAGCAGGGTATGTTTGCATTGACTTTGAACTCTGACCTGTGCCCTCTTCCTGAGCCAAGCCATTTTAGTGACCTGAAAGACTCCTCTAGGGAAAGACTGATCACATTTTCAACATTGAAAAGAACCTCTAGCAGGTGGTCATTTGAAAAGCATATGCCCTTTGTGTAATTTTGTTCCTTCAGTTATCAACTTGGTAACCTTTTTTGTTTTTTATCACCAATGAATCCAATGAATGATCCATATTATCCCTGCCCTGTTAGGGTGGCTATACCTGATTTTGATGACTAAATAAACAGAACAGCCTCTTCAACCACATCCATGATAAGAAAAATTATTGGAAAGACCACTGCTTGCCTCATATGGGTAGAAAGAGTCAAACTAAACTATAATTTGTTATCAGGAAAAAAAATTCCACAAGGCCCCCTCATTTAGAGATTGTCCTTATCTAAATAAAGTCCACTTAAATTCCCACATCCTTAATAGAACACAGCAAAATGTAAGCTTTCCCTTGGAGAAAGAAGTGCATGGATTCTATCACAAGACATGATACATGGCAGCAAAAGATTTGATGATACAAATGGGGTTTAAATAAGTAGAGGACTATGAAGACTGCCTTGGTTCGAATGCCTGGCAGCTTCCAACAGATGCCCTTGCTCCAGTCACTCGCCCTCTCTGATTCAGTTCAGTACTCTCCTCTATGACATCTCACTCATACAGCTTTTAGCAGGAACTGAACTTAGACACTGGTAAAATGTTCATAAAAGCTGTCCTCATGATAATAGGAAAATGGTTAGCTCCAGTACTGGGTGAGGCTGACAGTGAGAAAGGCCAGGTAGGTGGCCTGATGTGGGAGGGGGAACTTGCCTCCAAGTGGTGTTCCAAAACAGCAGCCAACCCCCACAGCACAGCCCACCGTCAGGATATCAGTGTAATAGTACGGCTGCTACTAGGGAGAGAGAGAGAGAGAGAGAGGCAGGAGGGAGGAGGAGGGCAAGGGGCAGAGGTGGGGGAGACATGTAGGGACAGCAAGAAGGCAGAGTTAGAGGCCTAAGTCATAGGGAATCATCATGGTCCCACTGCCCCTGTGACTCCCAGGCCAGGAGAAACTCAGTGAGTATGACAAACAGGAAGTGACCTCATGGCTCAAGGCCCAAACTGAAGATGAACTAAAGTTAAGCCAATATATACCAGGCAGGTAAGACTATAAGTGACCAGAGAGGGCTAGAGATGGGGACACTCGTGGTGAGAGTGGGAGTAGCAAAATAGTCAGGAGAGGACAGGCAGAAAAGTGTCAGCAAATTCTGCATGAGACAGCAATTATTCTCAGAAGACTATCCAGCCCTTTGGTGAAAAAACACAGGGGACTGAGGTTATGGGTGATAATCTCTGGTCACTCCCTGGATGCCCACCCACCAGCCCCTTTGGTGAGCATGACCCTCTCCACCCTTAAGCTGTGACAGCCACTCAAACCTCTTCCAAGTCTGGCTCAGGCAACTGGGGTGGGGAGGAAGTGAAACTTGCCTCCAACAGGGGCTGCAAAGCAGCATCCCACGCCTACCGCGCAGGCTGGCACCAGGAGGTCAAGCTGCCCAGGCACGGTCTGCAACAGAGAAGCACGCGGGGCCAGGGGGTGGCAGGGTGGGACAGGCGGGAGGGATGTAAGCAAGATCAGGGTGGGGGTCAGGAACTGCAAAGGGACAAGGGCAGCACAGGAGGGATATCAAGGGGAACTGATGGAGGATCCAGCGATATGGATTAGCAGGGTAACATGAGGGCAGACCAGCCCAGTCACCATGGTGGGGCACGGATCAGGACAGGTGTGCACTAGGAGGACAAGCACAGGCTAAACGGAGGCACTAGACAGCTCATGTGGGCAGGCAGGGCCAAGGAGAATAGGAGTGTGGTTAGTGCAATGTCCCCTCCAGCATCATGGCCAGCCTGGAGCAGAGGCAGCCCTCCCAGCCCCCTGTGCACACGTGGCTGGCTTTCTTCACAACTGGCGCCTACTGTGTTCCACTGTCTCAACCTTACCTCATAGACCCCACAGAACATGGACATAAACTTGCTTAGGACAGCAGCACAGATGCTGGCGATGTGAACAAAAGGGCCCTAGAAGAGAGGGATAGCCAGGGCTCAGGGTGAGAGGCTGCAAGGCAGGGAACAGGTCAGAGGGTTCAGTGAAATGAATATTTCCTGCTTCAGGCACTGGATGAAGTGCTGGAAAAGGGGCAGACAGAAGTTCTGCCTCTGAGAAGCTTCATCAGAGAGGGAGATAATAGACCTGCATGTTTTCTTTTCAGATAATGCCAGCTAAGAGGCCAATGAGGGAGGGTGAGAGAGAGATGGGGTGGCTGAGGGCGGGTGGTGACATGTGCTTAGATAAAGGTAGCCTGGTGAGGCCCCTCCTTGGGCCTGTTGAAACAGAGTAGCACCTTGAATGAAGTGAGTGAGCCACAGGAGTGTCAGGAGGAAGAATGAATAGAGCAAGTGCAGGAGTCCCACGTGGGGATGAGCTTGGTGTGGTGGAGGGATGGGAAGAAAGCCCTGTGAACCAGGCACAGTGAGCGGGGCAGGCTGGGAGGCTGGAAGGTTAGCAGACGGGAGGGTGTCATCAGCCCAGATCTTGCAGACTAGGGTGAGACCTTCAGATTTTAAGTGGTATGAAAAGCTGCAGAGAAGTTACTGATCAGAGGTCAGATGTGACCTATTCCATTTTAAAAACATGACTCTGGATGTGTGGAGTGTCCACAGCAGGGGGCAAAGGGTACATGAGGATGAACTGAGACCAGAGGGTGACACCTTGAAGAAGCACAGCCTGTTTCTAGGTCTCTGTTTTCTCATGTTAAAATAAGGGGATTGTGGCTAAGGCAGTGGTTCTCAACTAGGTGGAGGATTTCACCCCCCCAGGGACATTTGGCAATGTCTGGGGGCATTCTGGTTGTCATAACTGGGGTTGCTATTGACCTCTATGGTTAGAGGCTAGGGATGATACTTAATACCACGCTGCACAGGACAGTACCTCTAGCACAGAATTTTCCAGTTCCAAATGCCAACAGTGCCCAGGTTGAGAGACTGATCTAAAGGAAAGCCCCCCAGCTCTGACGTTTTTGACCTGCATCCCCAGGAGAGGACCTTCCCAGTGTTTCCCCTCCCTGTTGCCTCTTGGCTTTGCCTTTAGTCCATAACTGCTCCCAGAGTGCCCCTAGATTGTTCTCTCTCTCTCCTCAGCTCTCTCCCAGTGCACACCAGACCCACCTCTTTTCCCACAGGGATGCCACTGCCCAGCCCAGCAGTCAGGGCCACCACCTTGGCCACAAAAGCTTTGATTGTGAGGTACTCCTTCAGGACAACCCCACGAAGGATTGTCTTCATTTCAGGGATTCCAGAGCCTGAAAGGGTTAAAGAAGGGTCATGGGCAAGTTTGAGCTGGAGATTAAGCAGGAGATGGAAGGGAAATGGGGGTTGGGAGGAAGAAGTTGTCCTGGAGGGGATCATGGCAGGGCCCCCAAAGGGCTGGAAGTGGGGCTGAAGGATGGGAGGAACAGTCTGCAAGCAACACGACTGTGTGGACTCTTCTAGAAAGTTCTCACCAACAGCCTGGGGAGAGACGAGCTGGCAGAAGAGGGCGCTGAAGAGGATGAGAATTAGCGGGAAGGTGACCCAGGCCAGGTACTGCAGAGGAAGGTTGGGCTGCATCTGGGCGTAAGTCCACTTGTAGGCTGCAGGGACACAAGCCTGGGGTCAGGGAGGAGATGCTGACAGTTATGGTGATCACTGCCACCCACGTCTATAGCACTGCATGGCAGACATACTGCTGGTTGTGCTACCAGGCTGCGGACATCCTGTTTGCCTCTCCTCAGGGATACTACTTTCATTTTACATGTGGGAAACCTGAGTTGCAGGAGGTGAGTGCCTGCTCGAGTTCCCTCTGCCAGTGGAGGCAGGTGTTTGGGCTGTAAGTCACACTTGAGAATAGACTGTAGCGCATGGCTAGAGGCCATGGGGTGACCAATCCACCCACCTGGCCAGAACTGAGGGGTTCCTGGGACTCGGAACTAAAACTGGGAAGATCCTGGGGAAACTGGAGCAAGTGGGTTAAACTATTAGAGGGGTGTCCACTGCAGGTGGAAGGAAGGGACATGGATTTGGGCCTCGAGTCTTGATGGGTTTGGTCTTGTCTGAGGTCAGGTGCTTCAGCCAAGTTGTGTCTGCCCTCCGTACAGCATCCCCTACCCAAACACATCCAGCCTGCCCTAGGTGGAAATCCTAGGAACAGCCTCTGTGTGGGGAGAGCCGAGGGCATCGGTCCCGAGGAGCCTACCCTGAAGGCTCTTGGCACTGACATAGTCCATGCACCAGCTGACCAGAGCCATCAGCAGGCCCAGGAGCACCAGAAAGATCCAGTCTTCCCCCAACTTCCTTCTCACCACACGTCCCAGGCGGTGGATACAATCTAGGAAGAGGAAAGGGTTAAAAAAAAAATAGACAAACGCAGCCCACCAGTCACTACCTCAAGTGTGCGGTTGAGGAGTAGAGGGGAGGAATTGGGCTCTAGGGTCTTGTGTGTGTTGCTGAATTCTCCTTACACCTCTACCAACTCCCCCAAAATCTGTGAATTCCCCTATAAAGCTCCTGTTTCTTGGGAGGGTGGGTGAGACAGTAGGGAACAAGGCTCAGTGTGAAGGAGGTGGGTCAAGTGCCTTTCCCTTAGCTCCTAGAGGAGGGCTTCTATGAGTGTGTGGAAGAGGGAGGTACGTACAACGGAGCATCCAGGGTACTCTTGTAATCCCTGTACCTCCTATTCCAGAGTCCTTTACTCCTCAGTCCCCATCACCTTGACATTTAGAATAGTGGTCCTCATCCTTGCTGTCCACCGTAGAACTGGAGCCCATCTTCTTGGGCATCCCCATATCCTGTTCCTTGTCTGAGAATTGCTCTTTTTGATGGCCATAAATCTGGATGGAAGGAGAATGGTCAATGTCTATTCAGCATAGACAGAGGGCAGCAAGGAGACTCACAGACAAGAAATAGAGCTCTTTTGGATCCGGGGTGTTGAGGGCTGCATGCAGGGTACTTTGTGGTCTCCCTGCTCTTACCTTTCCACTCTCCAGTCACACATTTCCTGCTCTTTCCTGTCCATCCCTACCCCCAACACACACACACACACACACACACACACACACACACCCCTTCTTTTTATCCCTTCCTCACCCTGTACTCATCTTGGTCCATGGTAGCCTTCATCAGGGAGGCTAATTCCCACTAGGTAGTGGAGACCCAGAGAACCGTACTTAGATTGGGCATCCATAGCTGGCAGGCATTTTAAGTGTCACTATGCTTTCTGTAGGACTCTATAATTTCCAAGACCCCCAACTCCCTGACACTGACTTCCCTCCTAGGGTCACTCTTTGCACCAGGTGAGGATGAACTGGCCAAGCTAGCACATGACTTTTATTCTTCATTGACTCATAAAAATTGCACATGGGTACGGAGACAAATGACTTGGTTATACTGCCTGCTGTGAATGCCTTCCTGTGGCACCTGGATTCTCTGTTGAGCTTGGATAAACCCCATCCATCTCATTCCCCAGCCTTCATAGGCATAATGAGGAATCAGGTCTGATAAGGAAGTCAATCAATCTACTTCCCAAAACAAGGTAACCAGGCCCCACTGTCGTGTGAAGGGGTAGAGAGGCACAGTCAGATCCCAAAGCCTCCTCTTGACATTAGCATATGTGACTGTGAGGTGCATGTAAAATGACCACTATTAACTGCCCCCTTGTCCCCCACTACACTATCTCCAGCCTCTAGGACCAGGTGCAGGCCAGGCCATTTTGCTGATTCTGGATGAACCACCTAGAAGAGATCTGATTTCATAACATGAGCATCAGTTTTATACATGGTCCGGAACCAGCACACACTCATTGCTCTGCTCCCAGCTGTTTCGTCTCCTAGGATAAGGCCAGTGGCCCAGGGAGTCAGTGTTTCCCTCAGAACCCTGCCTGGGACCCAGAGTTAGAAGACACTCCCAGTGGAGTTCAGAAAACTGGGGCTGCCTTGGCTCCCTGAGGTCCCAGGCTGGCATAGCTTAGGAAGGGTGTGCTTCCTACCAAAACCTAGGCCGGGAGGTGCTACAGGACCAGATCCATTGTGCTGGTCCAGCACTAACCACCACACTGAAGCAGGGGAGGGGAAGGCAGAATCAAAACCCAAGTCTCTAAGTGATGCCATGCCTGGGACATGTTGACAGTCCTCTGTGCATGTGAAGAGTCGATGAAATGAGGTGGATGAAATGTGGAAAACTGTCATGTACTTGGGGGTTCATTATACCATCCTCCCTGCTTTGTGTAACTCTGGAATTTCCCCTCATAAAAATCCAAACTAATTTTTTTGCTTTCAAAGACTTGTGGAAACCAGCTGAACCCCTCTCCAAACCAATTTGTCATTCTTTCCCATGTGGTTTCATGCATGTTTGGCCAGTGTCCTCACTGTCACCAGAAAGTGCCCTAACTGCACTTTCCCTCAATTTGTCACCCTCCCCCCTCTAGAAATGACCAGTACCCTGTTGAGAATGAGGGTACTCACATTGTGTTCCAAGGCCTGGGTCAGAGGCCACAGTCAGGTGCCACCATCTCCAGAAACCACTATCTCACTATTGCAGCCTACATGACATTTATGTCCTGCTCCCCAAAAGTTCCACCAGCCCTGTGCTGCCTCCACAGTTTCCCTGGGGGACTGGTCAGGGCTGAGGATCCTCTTGACTCCAATGCTGTGAATCACCCGCACAGCGCACCCCTCAGGCTTCCAGCCTCACACCTACAGAAACATAGGCTCCCTGTCAGCAAAACACTTTCTAAGTCTGATCTGACCCTCAGGACACCTTCCGCTCTCGGTCTCTGCAGTTTCTGTGGAGGTAGACTTAACAATCGTGGCCTGTAAACTTTCCAGGGTGATTTCACCACCTTCCTTTCCTTGGGCCCAACTCTATTTCCTCTCTTCTAGATGTCTGAACCCACTGATCCCCACCCCTGGAGGATGCTTCTCCCTAACTAGTTTGCCAATTCCTTTCTAGGACCAGCACCTTTCTAAGTGGTTCACACTTAATAGGTTCTTATTTGCTCAATCTTGTCATCTAAGAGCTTTCCCCCACTCCCCACCCCCTGTGGTGCTAGGGATGGAACCCAGGACCTAGTGCAAGCAAGACAAGTGCTCTACTACTGAGCTGTGTCCTCAAACTCCTAAAAGTTGAATACATCTCTCTGCTCATTTTGACATGGGTAGGTTTTTGAATACTGGCAAGACACCCAGCCTGTTTTCTCTACTTGTCTCGACTCCTTTCTTCTGCTTTCTGTAGAAGAGTTCGGTGTTTGTGTGTGTGTATGTGTATGTGTGTGTGTGTGTGTGTGTGTGTGTGTGTGTGTGTGTTCTGTGGTAGGTTGCATGGCAGAAATCCCCCAGGGTCTGCATGTGGGAGATGCTGGTAGCACAGAGCATGTGGGCTCCAACTTGAATCACTCTGTGTGGGTTACGTAAGCACCAGCTCCTCCTGGGTCTGTTTCTGCCAGTTCCCCACAGGAGTTGGTTATCCTGTTAGTAAAGGCTACATGAATCTGCACATGTATTTCTAGAGTGCACACTTAGGTGAGTCCATACCCTTGAAAGGGTTTTATAATTTGAACATATTACCATGGACTTTTTACAAAGTTGAAAGGTGCTCCCTCTTTTCACCTAATTCCTAACTCACCCATCCCTGGCCCCACCTTCTCCCCTGTCCACTGCTTCCCTCCCCTTAGGACTTTACCTGGGTGGGGTGGGCGTTGTGCCGGGGGCCTGTGTCCTTTCGGAGCCGATGCTGAAGGCCCCCGTTCTCAGATGGCAGTCCATAGCTGGTGCAGTGTTCAAAGGGCATGTACTGGTACTGGGGGGCACTACCCCACCAGCTTTGTTCACCCCCATGCCTCTGTAACTGGGATCGCTCCATGTGGCCTGCCCCCCAGCCCTAGCCAGGCCTTGGCCTGCTTGCCCCTGTCCTCCCCCCAGGGCAGCTCCTTAAGCTTCTGCTCTCGCCTGTCCCCAAGGCGTCTGGGGCAGCATGCCCACCTCCAGCTATTTATAGATGCCTCCCCATCACATGACATGCCCCCCCCCCCCCAGCCACATCTGATCTGCTTGGGGTCGAAGCAGGTGTCAGTGTAGTGCTGGGATGGGGGTTGGGATAAGAACCTGTGGGACAGCCCCACAGGGAATTCCCTTCACAGGCCAGCAGCATTGTCCCCTCCCTAGTCACTAGTAGGTTTCCAGGCCCAGGTCAGTGATTCCTCTATAAATATCGCTGGGGCAGGGTAGGGAGCTGCTCAGTGTGTTCTCCAGGCTGTGTGCTGCACTGGTCTGTACTAAGGCCCTGGCTCCCACCTCTCCTTCAGCATGTGGAAGGCCAGGGGTGCGGTGCAGAAGTAACTAGAAGGTCTGGAAACGCTGGCCAGGAAACTTACCTGGGAGAGCAGCTGGTGCCTCTCTGCCATCTCTCCCTGTTGGGTGGTCTCCAACTCGGTACCTTTGCAGGGTTCAGTTCTCACCTCGATCCTGTGCTTCTGTCTGGCTGACTCTCTAACCCATTCCATTCCCTGCTGACTCCTTCAGCTCTCTGCCCTGGTCTGCCAGACGCTGCTAATAACCTTTGGTGCCACCCCCTTGATCCCATCCTTATCACCCTCTGGGTGTGGAACACTTGAGGGAAGCACTGGTAATAGCCTTGGGTTCTCGAACTTCTCCCCTTTCCCAGACCCACATGTATCAACCACATGGCCAGCCCAGATCTACGCGGAAGGACTGAGCTCCCACTTAAACTGTGGTGCCCTTGACAGCTCTGTCAGCGCAGGCAGATAACAGGGAGAAGCGGAAATAAGCCAGAGGCAAGGTGGTGGGAAAGGAGTGCTTCCCATGATGAGCCAACAAGCAAAAGACAAAGGGGAAGTCACCTCTTTATTCTTCCTCTTTTAGGCCAATAAATAATTTTTGACCGAGGCCTATCTGCTCCATCCAGCATTGGGTCTATTTCACAGACTTTCCTAAGAAGATTCCTTCCCAATGATCTCATTATAGATGAAAGCTATAAACTGAGGCAAAATTTAGGATCCATCCAAATTCAAGGACCAGGAGGTAGGGACACCAAACGTCTAGCCTACAATGTTTAATTTTGACCTAAACTAAATGGAATCACCCAAACAATCGGGAAGATGGATACCATTAAAAAGTACCTTTTCCAGGTGCTCAACATTTCTAACATTCAGAGAAATGAAATCAAAACCACGAGATATCACCTTTTAGGATGGCTACTATCAAAAAGATAAGAGGTAAGTGTTGGAGAGTATGCAAAGAATAGGGAACTATTGTTGACTCGGGTGAGAATCTAAACTGGTACAATACTTATGGAAAATAGTACGGAAATTCCTCAAAAAATTAAAAATAGAAATACCATATTATCTAGCAGTCCCACTTCTAGGTATCTGCCCAGAGACAAATAAATCACTCTAAGAGATATCAATACTCTCTTGTTCAATGCAGGACTGTTCACAACAGCCAAGATATAGAAACAACAGATCAACAGATGAATGTGATGTGCATATACAATGGACTATTATTCAGCCTTAAAAAGAAGGTAACTCTGTCATTTGTGACAACTTGGATGGATCAAGAGGACATCATGCTAAGTAAAATATGCCAGAAACAGAGAGACAAATACTTCATGATCTCACTCATGGGTGGAATCTAAAGCAGTGGAACAGAAGCAGAGAGCAGCGGCTGGGCTAGGGGTATAGGTCCTGGGGAGATGGTGGTCAAAGGATGTAAGGTTTTAGTTATCAAATGAGTTCTGGAGATGTAATGTGTGTGGTGAGTATAATTAACAATACTATACTAAGTGTCTGAAATTTGCTGAGGGTAGAGCTTAAGTGTGCTCAACACACACACACACACACACACACACGTACACACACTCCCGGGTAACCGTGAGATGATGGTTAACGACCTTGATTATAGTGATCACTTCACAATGTATACGTATACCAATACATCAAGTTGTATGCCATAAATATGTAAAATCTCTATTTGCCAATTATATACCAATAAAATTGAAAAAAATCTCGTCTTTTCTACCATTAGTCCCATAAATCCTCAGACCTATCATCCACCCTTCGAGATGACAAATGTTTGTGATTGTTTGAGGGACTAAAGGTTCTGTGAGGCTACCTGCTCTTACTGCAGACAGTAGATAAGGCAAGCTCTAAGGAACTGGTGCGAAATGAAAGGAGCGCTTCCTCAACAAAGAAAATAGAGTGAAAAATGACATTATATTGTTGGAGGCCTTCAGAAACAGAAAAGATTTTTCACTTGTTTGTGAGGTCTGGCTCTTTTAAAGGTAATTGGTTTTTGTACAAAACTGATACAACTATCAGATGCAATTGCTATTTCCTTCCTGCCCCTGAGAAACTCAGCCTGATCTCGATTCTCAGACTTGGAGGCAGAGACCAGAGGGGTCAGGAAAGTGCTCATACCTGCCAAGTGGAAACATGCAGTCCTGAAGGAAAGCAGACTGCCACTCTAAGAACCAGATTCTTATATTAGGAGAATCAAGAACAAACCTGCGGCTTATGGAACTGCTGTTTGAAGGAAGTTATACAGAGTGGCCACAGGGGGCATAAGTGGGAGGGAGGTTTGTTTGGCGGGTAAAGGTGCTTGTATAGGATAGTCCTATGCATCTCCCTTGGAATTTAGGTATGGATTTTCTGAGTTTTTTGTATTTTCCAACTCCAAGTCCAGCCTCCCCAACTGATGGGGCAATAAATCCGACAGTCATCGTGTTATCCCTCTGCATGGCTGGCAGCACAGCACTCATGCTCCGCTTTCTGAAATTTTAGCAAAGCAACTACAACTACCTCTGAGACACTTTCTCTTTGTAGAAGACCCCACTGGTGCTCATTTCTCCTCTACTCCTTATTGGGCTTTGCTCTTTTAGGACTCCTTGATCCTAGGCTGGGGATGTAGCTATCATTATGATAGAAAGCTTGTCTACCATGTTTAAGGGGCCGAGTTCTGGGTTCAAGTCCCAGCACAGGGTGAAAAATCCTTGGTCTTTTTCTATCTATTCCCAGCAGATTAGGATTTCCCTGTAGTAATCAGCAGGCCTCTTTCTACCTCTTCTGGCTTTCCAAATATGATAATCTTTTTCCTGCATCACATTTAATCCTCATTGGGGCCTTTGAAGACAGAGACCTTTTCCTCATTTTTAAGTAAGGGCAACCGAGGTTCAATGTAAATTATCTTGGCCAAGGTTTCTAGTATCTTCAAAGGCAGGGCCAGATTTGAAAATCATACCTAGAAAGTTCTAGAATCCAAGTTCTTAATGCTACATTTCATTTATGATAAATGATAATTGAATCTCTGAGCCTTGTTTTCCTTCTGAACAAACCAAACCAAAAAACAGTGGGAAGTCCCTGTGGGACCTGGGGAGGCAGCAAACTCCTTGCTCAGTGCCTCCCTAGGCCCTGCACTCCATCCCCAGTAGCCACTCTCCTGTCTTCAGACAGCTCTCCCTCCTCTTAGGTTCGCAGCTCTGGTCTGGTATATCATTTGTTTCATTTCTTCCTGTTTTCCTTTTCCGTTTGTGAAAACAGGATGGGGAAGGGCGGCAGAGGGCAGCCCCCAGCTCAGGGAGGGGGATAATTTTAGAAGAGAATCCCCTGGCAGAGGTAAGTGGGGGAAGGGAATTGAGTTGTGAAATTCAACCTGATGCCCTGATTCAAGGGCAGGTGGCAAGGACACGAACTTCTGCTCAGCAAACACTGTTCTGTAATTCCGAAGCTTTCCCGTCTTGAAAATGGGTTCTTACTCCCAAGATTCCGGCAATTCCTTAAACTTTCCTAGATTCTTGTATCCCTGACAGCGTGACCAACTGGTTTCAGTCCCTTTTTTGTGCTCTTTGCCCCTGGTATTCTTTCACACTGGATCCCCTGTCTGGTGACATGCTTCAGCTTAACTATGCCCTTTCCCTCTTCTTAGACAATTGCCCACCCCCCCCGCCCCGCCACCACCCACTCTGTACTCCTCAGCAACTTTCCCCAAGTCCCACAGCTATTTCCCACCCAAATGCTCCTACAGAATTTTTAATCTCTTGCTAAACCTCTGAAGCCCACCTCTACCTGCACATTTGTCTCTAGACATATACCCCAAGAGCACAACTCAGAATCCAGTGCTTCCATGCTGCCCTAGAATTCTTTTTTTTTTTTTTGGTACCAGGAACTGAACTCGGAGGCACTCAACCACTGAGCCACATCCCCAACCCTATCTTGTATTTTATTTAGAGACGGGGTCTTAGTGAGTTGCTAAGTGCCTCGCCTTTGCCGAGGCTAGCTTTGAACTCAAGATCCTTCTGCCACCTTGTGCCACCATGCCCAGCCCTAAGTCTGTTACAATCTCTGCTCACCTTAAACCTCACTTGGACCATGTGAGAAATGGAGTACTACTATTCCTTCCCTCCTATCCTCCTATTCCAGTCCAGTCTGTCACTCCAGCCTCCATCCCATAATTAAATAAGCTAGAACCAACACTGCTTGGTAAAGACTCATCTGAACATGAGAAATCAAACCCAGGGCTATGCCAATGTATGAGAAAGAGGGGCAGCAAAATAAGGGGTCTTCAGTTCTAGGTATGCCTCGTGAGGTGGCAAGGAACGACGCAGGACAAGGCCCAAGAAAATGAAGACACGTGGCTCTGAAAACTGAGCATCTACAGAAACAGACACCAGGCAGGCAACAGTAACAAATATGAACATTTATTTGGCACCTCATGGCAAAACAAATCTTGGCAGTGGGAAGTGGAAAGGCTAGATCACTCAAATACGCCCATCCTACACTGACCCAAGGGAGCAAGTCTTCAAGCCACCCGCTCGCACAACAAATGTTTATTGAGCACCTTGACTATTGCATGTGTGCATTCCGCTAGGCACCATGCAGGATGTGAAAGAAGCTGTCTCACAGATGGTATGTCTTCAAGGAGCTAAAAATACCAGTGGACAAAAACAGAACACCTGGAAAAACACAAGTACAAATACTCAACTGTACAATGTCAAAAGGGAAATTTTGTCAAAAAGTAGGATTCTAGAAAGGGTTGGCTGCTGGCCTCCTTTCTTCATTCAACGAACATTTACTGAAGATTTAGTAAGCGCCAAGCACTGGGTCCATACAGGTAAGAGAGCCAGGGTTCCTGCCCTCTTGGAGCTTATAGCCTAGTAGGAGATATAAAAACAAACAAGTAAAACAAACAAATATGTAATTACAAGTTGCAATAAGTGCAAGGAAAGAATGAAGCGAGCTGGACAAGGTGGTGGACACCGTAATTGCAGGTTCTTGGAAGGCTGAGGCAGGAGGATCAAAAGTTCAAGACCAGAATCAACAATGTGGCAAAACGGGGCTGGGGGTGTGGCTCAAGCGGTAGCGCACTTGCCTGGCATGTGTGCGGCCCAGGTTCCATCCTCAGCACCACATACAAACAAAGATGTTGTGTCCGCCAAGAACTAAAAAATAAATATTAAAAAAAAAAAAAAACCCAAAAACAATGTGGCAAAACCTCTTCTCAAAAAATAAAAAGGACTAGAGGATGCAGCTCAATGGAAGCATGCCCCTAGGTTCAATCCTCAGAACCAAAGAAGAAGAATTAAACAGAAAGCAGTAATAAACAGAGAAGACTGTTTATAGACCATAGATTGGGAAGGCCTCCATGAAACTCGAAGAATAAGATGCTATCCCAGGCAAGAGCATTGGGATAGAGAGCTTAGAACAGCTGAGACACTAAGAGGCCACGGGGTTAGAGCATAGTGAGAAGCCACTACTTAATAAGGTTCAAGTGGAAGACAAGGGCCATATCTCACAAACTAGAGTAAGGAGTTTGAATTTTATGAGGTGTAACAGGAAGCCAAAGAGTTCCAAGCAGGAGAATGACATCATCAGATTTATATTTAAAAAGCAAAAAAGTGGCCAGGCAATGGAACATGCTTATCATCCCAGTGACTTAGGAAGCTGAGGCAGGAGGATCAAAAGTTCCAGGCAGCCTCAGGAACCTAGTAAAACCCTAAGTAACTTACAAAAAACCTGTCGTCCCCCCTCCCCCCACAAATAATAAAAAGGGCTAGAGATGCAGCTCAGTGGTACAGTGTCCCTGAGTTCAATCTCTAATACCAAGAAACTAAAAACTAAAATAATGTCCCCCAAAACATAATGAACAAACAAAAAAACCCCAAACCATTCTGTTATGTGAAGAATAGACTGGAGGGTGTAAAATGGAAATGGAAAAGAATGCCTTAAGAACAGGAAGGTTTCATAGAAGCAGAAATAAAGTTTCTAGGTTTGAAAGAATAATAATGTATGTGGTAATATCCTCACTGAAATAGAATGGGAGGGGAGAGAAGACCACATAAAATCGAAACAAGTCTGACAAAGAAGCAGAGTGCAGGAGCCAAAGGACCCAGCAGAGGGGCACCGCCCACTGACATGGCAGCACTGAACAGGAGGAAACACAGTGAAAGGAAGAGACATGAAGGAGGGAGACAACAGTGGAAAGCTATTCCAGAAATCCAGATGTGAGGTTCCCTTTGACTGCTCGGACATGAGAACACTACGGGAGAGGAAGGGACATGTCGGAGAGAAAGCAGACACGGTGGCAGGTCAGTGTGAGGAGAACACCACCCTCCTGGCCTTTTGCCCACTCTCCCCACACACTCACTTCAGTAACCGCTCGGGGAAAACAGGCCCAAGGAAGCTCTTTAACACTCCCAGGAGCAAAGCATGCAGACCCAACCGCTGATGAAAGGCTGGCTTCCTGCAGCCCAAAGGGCGAAGTGAGAAGACTGCTGTCCACAGGGACCCGCGGTCCTGAAGGGAATGTACAGGCACTTCTGCTCACAGTAGAGGGTGTGTCTTTCAGTCACATCTACCTTTTCAAAGCCAAATGAAAATGCCTATGTTAACTAAGGACACCCTCCAAACTCTCACTCTGGGACAAACGGTGTTGGGAAGCGAAACAAACAACAGATATGAGACCATCTCTGAGACATCATTACTACTGTAATAAGAGTGATGACCAAAGTGCCCCGCAGAAGCCCTGGGGGCCGAAGTAACAAACACTAAGAAATCTGCATGCCCTCCCCCACAATGGTACTGTTCATAGCACTGCCTGCCAGGCTCTTTGATTGCAGCCAAAACATTCCTGGCAACAAGTTCAGCCAGAGCCGGCTCTACAGGGAGAGCTTCACACAAGAGGAGCTGGCCTGGAGTCCCACACACAAAGGCGGAGATGACGGGCACCGGAAACAAGCCTGGGGGGTCCCCATATCCCTGAGGGGGCAGAACAGAAACTGCATCTGGAAGAAAAAAGGCTCTATCGTGCCTCTGGTGATCCAGTGGCCGCCAACAGCATGGACGATGGGGAGGTGGCATCACGTGGGAGGGTATCCTGGGAACAGGTAGAGGTGACGGCACAGAGTGCTGCAGTACTCAGACATCTCCTTGCATCGGTGGAACTCTGTGCCAGGGGCATAGCCTTCACGCTCCTTGATGAGGGCATTCACCTGGAAAGGCAGAGCCAGTGGTCCAGAGTCTGAGATCAGCTTGTGCTTTCACGACAGCAGTCCAACACAGGAGAAGAGAGCCTAAGAGAAGTGGGGCAAGGAAGAGAAGGGAGAATGCTACGGAGATGCGAGGGCTTGTGGAGCCGGCCCAGGCTGACTTACCTTAACCAGCATGTCGGCCACATGCATGTCACAAGCCCTCTCAGAGAACACCTGAGTGAGTGCCTCAATATACCAGGAACCCCGTTTGGTATTCCGCATGGCAGCAGTGCCTGCAACCAGAAGGCATGAAGGTCATGGGGAATCCTCCCCCATACAGGTGACTTCCATGGTATCTTGTAACCTGCAGTATGAAAAACTCAAGCCCAGAGTATATCTTCTGGGTTACCTACTGGAATTCCAAATACCTTTGAGGCAGGCATAGCCACAAATCATGTCAGAGCGAGTGGGCAGTCTCATCCTCAGCATCTCCTCCTTCCCAGCATCACTCTCCTCACACCCGGGCTTCTTTCCATCCTGCTGGTCAACACCACGATCAGTCTCATCTGTAGAAAGGCACACAAATTGAACAAAGATGTTACTTTCTCCCATCTCTAGCAGCCTGTCACAGGTAAGCCCAAGTTCCCTATAACCTTGAATGGGAAGAGTCATCTCCAGCTGTTGTCTCCAACCTATGATAGATGAATTTAAAAACAGAAGTTATTACTTTCCCAGCATGCCTCATTATCCAGGGGGTGCCTACTAGGCCAGGCACTGCACTCAAACACATGCATATATACACGGCGAGGCAAAAAAAATCATCTAAGTTCAATTGGAAAAATACCTAGAAGTCACAGTGCTTTGACTGTAAAACGCAATAGAATATTGACACACTCAGTTTTATTACATAAGCAAAAACCAAAAAATGCTATATAAAAATCATAACTTTATATTATCGGTAAAATAAGCTATAAAACTAATCATGATCAGTAGTTCCCATGGTGATTTTGATAGCTTTAAAGCTTACTACTTGTTTAATTTTACAAGATAAATTATAGCAGGCATCTAAGATTTAAGAGAAATTTTTAAAAGGAAGAAATTAAAATAGGAATAATTTATTTTTTTCCCTCAAAACTGAAAAAAGAACACCATTATTCAAGCTCAGTGGTAGTGTCATAGCATCACTGAGCACATGCCCAAACTCTTGACTTAGAGCTTATCTATCCCAAGACAGATTCTTATTTTCAATGTTGCTGTTTCATTTGGGGGGAGGCAGGAGTCCTGTTGGTAGAAAGGGAGACAGGGAAGACCACAGGTCAATAGCAGAGGTGTGTGCTCTTTCATAGTATTTCCTGCTCCATGCAACATTCAAGAGCCTGGTGAAAAATTGTGGAAAAAAGGACCAAGATTCAATGATTCAATAATAGGTCACTGAGCAACAGCCATGTATCAGATGCTGTTTTATATGAAGCCCTAAGGATATGGTAAAGGAAAAGTCACCTTATGAAACTTCCACTTCAATTGAGATGTTAGTCAACTTGGCAGGGGTCATACTTTCATAGACATTAATTATATTATCAAATGTAGCAGAAGGAAAGCTCAAATTTTCAAAGGAATAATCAACTACTGTTCATCCTTTAATGAATACAGTTTTGAGAGACAAGGGGAAGAGGAGGAGCAAAGATTCAGATTACCCCAGGAAAGAGCAATTGCCCTATCCAGATTCAGTTCTGTATTCATCTCTGAATTCATAAGAAAATGACCACTAATGTCATATTTATTTCACTTTGCTGGTTATGACTCCTAAAGGAAATGGGCCAAGATAAGAATGTCCTTCAAGAGACAGGGAACTCCTTTTTTGCCTTCACATCATAGATCTATCACTCAGTAAATGCTACTGGTTCTTTCTTTACAACATCTCCTAATGTTTTCTATATTACTGCTACAATTTCTTAGGCAGGTAAATTTTCATTCATTCATCAACATTTGTAAGTGCCACCAGGGGCAGGCAGTGCTCTGGACTTGGGAAAAGCACAGTTAATGCAAAACTAGGTTTGTGTTCTCATATGCTCTTAGAGCAGCTCCCTCACATGGTGACCTTCCTGGGGGAAACTCAACATATTATTTCTTTCTTAAGCTCCCAACAGCTTCATACTGTCATCTGTTGAAGTTCAAAATCTCAACTATGAGTAAAAGTTTGTAATCAGCTGGACCTACTTCCTGTGATCATACACACCACAGGAAATGTCAGCTTTTTAACTGGATCCCACAACTGGGGTTAGGGGGAATGTGTCCTTTTACTCTCAGGTGCTTGTCACATTATACTGTTCCTTTCCCTTGGAAAAACTCTCCAAAGACTTTACCAAAGATTTACCTATATAAATCATATATCCTGGATCCAAATTAAGCCTTACCCTAGCCACAAAAGTCTTTTCATACTAACTGCACTTAAAATGATGTATTCTTACTAAGTATTTCCTCATAGGTGTGGTTTCTAATTTTGCTCATGCTTGAGAACTAGTCTCAAGCTACTAAGTGTATATTTGCTTTAGTTTCCAAAGTAACTGCTAGGCTCTAAAGTGAGGCCACATCCTCTTTTGCTTCTGTGATAGTATCCGGTGTAGTATTAGTCATGTTGTAGGGCCTCAGTAAACTACATCTTTGGTGATATCAGATTAGGAAAATAATGTTAGCTATTATATAACAGCTTCAAAAATGTGAATGGTTGAACAAAATGGACTTCAACCCAAACTATAAGCCCCTTGAGGGCAGTGACCACATTCTAACAGTCATAGCTAGCTTTGTAGATTTACCCTAAATCAGGTACTGTGTAAACTTGCTTTTTCATGCACTGTTCTATCTAATCATCACAACCACCTTATGAAATAGGTATAACTGTCTACATTTTATTTAAAGAAAACTGAGGCGAAGGAATGTCAAGTAACTTCTTTAACTTCAAATAATTACTAAGCAGCAGAGTCAGAATTTGACTCCAAATTTAGAACTCTTAATTACTACTGTTTTCCTCCAGGGTGAGAAGCAGGCCTGTGGTGTCTTCTGAGCCTTGTCATGCAGGCCTGCCTCTTAAAGGGGTAGAACAGACTGCAGGAAAAAAAAAGAGGGACAGAAGCAGCTCAGGAAAGTCCAAGGTTGAAATGGAGTCTGTATTGTTATCCTGTGTGGTCCATGAATGATAAAAAGGAAGCAAGAATGGAAGTGTAGGTGAACAGAGAAGTACAAGGGGGAAGACAGAAGGAAAGAGAAAAGAGGAAGGAGATAAAATGTGAAGAGAAGTAGGAAAAGAGAGACAGAAAAAGGGGCGAAGACACTGACAAGAGAACTCTGAGAACAGGCTATGGTGGTGCACAGAGAACTGACCAGCCTGAGAGCCAGGGGCTGCCCAAGTCCCAGCACACCCCATGCATTGGGAGACACTTACAGAGCAAGAGAGGCGGTGGCAGCAGTGAACAGAAGGAGGTGCCCAAGGGATCCAATAGCACCTGAGAGGAGCAAACAGGAAAGTGAGAGCTGGTGGAGGCTGCCCAGGAGCCATCACCCAGGTGCCGGTCTGCCAGGGCACTCACCTCCACGGCAGGCCTGGATGAAGAACATTTTCGGCTTGTTCTGTAGGCTTGGACAGTTAGCGTTGTCAAAGAGCCGAAAAACCTCTTGGAGCTGCGGAGAGAAATAAAGGAGAAGAGAGGATAAGTTGTCAATAAGGACTCTGGAAGTCCTACACATACAACAGTAACTGCTGCTATAAAGGAGGGCAGGCGGGAAGTGACGCAGCTTAGGTCCAACTGTCAGCTTCCCCTAGATTACACACACCTGCAGCAGTTTGCCGTCCACACCATAGATGCTGCCCTCCACACCATGTGAAAGGAGTGCCACTATGCAGGAGTCTGTGACACGGTGTGCAGGTAACTGTGCAAAATTCTGGAGTTTCTCTTGCATTTCCTAGAAGAAAAACACCTTTCAGAGTTGTTTACTGACATCAGCACCAATATAAATACCAATCTCTAGTTTCTGTTTGAAACCCTAAGCTATTAAAGATAAAATGTTTTCTGTATATTCCTGTAGCAAATGATAAGTCACCACTTTGAGAGGCTAAAGAAAGCTATGCACTTGCCAGAAAAATGCACAAGAATTCAGACACAAAACTCTGCATATAGATTCACAGACTCACTGGGAAAGGTTACAAACTCCTAGACTAAAGCAAGCCCCTAATGAAGCTATTCCTGAGCTGGTCAACTGTAATTTGTTCCCTGACAATGAACCAGATCCTTCATTTGAACAAATGACCTTACAAATGACACAAGGGGGACCATTATTCAGCTACAGGTAAAAAACATTGCTCTGTGACAGGGTTAATATCATGTCAGAAAGCACAGCAGAATTTATGTTTCTTTCTGTCAGGGACTATAAATATCCAAGAGACAATGACAACGTCTGCATAAAACATTTTGCTTAAGGAAAGCACACTGTGATGGACGATTCCACACAGGGTAGACTACATATGTGAATTCCAATGTTAGTCACCTAGGAGTGAACCAGGGTCCGTAGATTAGAACAATGGTTAGCCTCTTGAGGCTCCAATTTCCACATAATAGGAAAATAATTACAAGCAAATGTTCTTAGTTTGTGAAGATTAAATGAGCTATTGCACAGAAAGGAATCAATCACTGTGTCTGTCATTATAACACGCATGTCTAATAGAGTAATCATGTTACTTAAAAAAAAAAAAAAAAACCTATTATGGATCAATCTTGTAGTTTGAATGAAGATCTTGTTTATCTTGCACAAATGCCTACAGGAAAATCACTAACTTAAACATTTGGTTCATCCACCAGAGAGTTATATATTGTCTTACAGTATAATAATTTTCAAACCTATGTCTCTCTGGGTCTTCTCTCGTACCTGAGATAAGCAGAGAGAAAACAAATTCATTTGATTATGGATTTGAAGGAAATTTAATGAAAATATGCTCTTTCCCATATATATTTACCATCCACCCATCCCATAAAGACCATGTTAGTACAATATATTTTACTGGTTCCCAAAGTGTGATCCCTAAAGCAGCAATAGCAACATCAGATAGGAACTTGTGAGAAAGTTTCTGCTGCAAACTGTTAACAAGCCCTCCAGCTGATCCTGATGCTATAAGTTTGAGATGTATTGATCTATTTGTTTGGAATAATACTTCTGTTTGCATATAATTGAAATGTAATATAAAAGAGTTAAAATGCATGGCAATATAACTTGAAATAGACAATATTAAAAAAAAAAAACAACTATTTTTTCTATCTTTGGGGTAAATAGAAGCCAACTATAATGGAAATCTTAAATTAATAAAAGATCCAAAATTAATTTGTTTATGAAACACATAATTTCAAGAGATAACATGCTCGTGAATGTTCCTTTAGAGTTGACCATTAGTAGAATTGAACATGTAATAGTTAAGAAGTTACTTTTGCTTGAAGAATGGAATAAAATATATACCTGGGCATCTAGTCATAAGTATTTTCAACTTCATAAAATTATTCAGCCAGTAAATAGAGTATAACAAAACTCAAAGTAAGAACATACATACTTTGTAGCTAAACTTAATAAGATTAAACTATTCAACAAATGCAGATTAGTTATTTGGAGGAATTTTTCCACAAGTAGAATAGCTTAAAATAGGATCTGTAGATTTATTTCTGCAGTAGTTCTATAAATAGCGGGGTTCTTAGCTCTTGGGTGTGTTTTGGCTGGGGGTTGGGAAACATGTGAAAAGAACCTGTGAATCCTCTGAAATTACACACAAATTATAAGGATGGCTGCATTTTCCAGGGATGATCCAGCCTGTCCCTACATTCTCAAAGCAGCCTGTGACTGGAATGTAAGTTAGAAGACATTAGCACATCAGAAAAGGAACTTTGCCACTTCAAAATGTATCTCCATTTCTTAATGTCCGCATTAGGTCTAGCAACCCCCTGAGGTACAAGGTAGATGCAACAATGCAAAGAGATACTGAAAATAAACCTGGGCGGAGAGAGTCCTGGTGTTCTCTTTGGCACTATCAACAGAAGAGTGTTCACTATGATTAACTGTATTATTCCCTGTTTTCTAATGGAATTTAAAGTCAAAAATGTCTGACAGGCGAAAAAGAAGACCTTAATGTTTTTTGGTGCTGAAAAATTACACAAGAGTAGTCTCTTGAGAGGTTTACCAGGAAGCAGCACGCAGGGCAGATGCCCAGTGCATCAAATTATGACACCCACGGTGATCACCTAGTTTATGACTCACGCAGCTCTTGCCTACACACTCTTCTCCCTGCCTAGATGCCACCACTCTCCTCTGCCTTAGTAGCCTCTTTAAGTCTCACCTGCCTCATTTATCCTTCAGACCACATGTTCCCAGGGGGTTCTTCCTCTTTGCTCCTACAGAAAATGGTGTCTCTAATCCTATTTGGTCTTTAGGAATATAAAGGGATGCATTTCCTTTTTAGATGACATTAAGACTCCTTAATCTATCTCAAGTCCCTTGAATTCAAGGCCCACATTTTAAAAATTTCTGATAGCTAACAGTCCCCCATTATAAGGTGCTCAAAATTAAGCCTCATTGCAACTCTAGTTATAGAACACTGTTCCCAGAGAATGAGAATTCAATAGGTCCTTGAATCTGCACCAGGCTTGCCATAAATGAAATGGCATTTATTAAATCTACTGAATGTATCAAAATACAGCAGTAAACAGCTGAGTTGGTGACTCAGTATTGTATCTTTAACTATTATGCATACAAAATCCTTTCTCAGTTGTGTATGATTTAGAAAACCATCACATGATAGACTCCTAGTGAAATGAATGGCTGAACCAAAACCTCTGAGGAAACATACACAGTGTACATTTTGTGTCAGTGACCTTGTCACAGGACTCCCTCTGTAGTGACTGGTACACAGGCTACCCTTGTCCCTGCATGGCCAGCAGGCCTCTCTGGCAAGTGTGTGACCTACTTCAGTACAAGACAACCGAAGATGCTGTTCTGCTTGGCTCTTATGGGGAAGCTGGCAAAAACACCAGAGGACAACACCTAGGTACCCGCTGACGAAAATGGCCGCAGCCAAGTGACAGCAGATGCATAACTATTCCCACAGAAGCAGGACAGCTGGGGAACAAAGGACACAGAACAAATGCTAAACACAAAACCAAGATTCTTTGCCTCAACAGGACAAAGTGAATCTCCTAGAAATTTTAATGTCACCACTAACAACCCCAAAGGCAAGTTTAAGGAAGTATTATTATGGAATCAAAATAGTTCATAATAAACTTATATATAAGTGACTGTTAATTTCAAGAGAAATTCTAAAGGCAATGAAATCAGTCAGTAGTGGTGCAGCTTGGTCACTGAGGTTAATGAGGAATAACCCCAATGAAACTGCTTATGGTCTGAGAATCTAGTCTGGAAGCAATCTACCCACAAAAGGACTTGGGGCCATAACCCCATAACATATGGGGAATATGATTTGAAAGAATTATACCTTCTAAAGTAATCATTTAACAAATAATTAAGCTCCTAAGCAGTGGTATCAAGCAAGAATAAATGTCCTGCATAGTCCCAGTTTATAAATATCTTTTCTGAGTTAGTTAGGGTGAATCCCAGTATCTCATCACTTCCTGAGAGGCTGGGAATCAAGTTTCTGAACATGTAAAAGTGAGAACCTAACCCTGGACTATTATTACTCCATGAAAGCACAGCTACTCTGAGATGTCAACACTGATACAGCTGGATGGTTCTAATTCTTTTTTACTAGATTGCAAAGTGAAGAGCACAACAGTAGTGACGCTGTGAGTACATAACCTCTAAGACACATCCTAGCAGGCACAGAGGCAGCAGACTTGTCTGGCCCCCACGTGTTGCCCAGTCATCTGATTTACATGCCAGTCTTTCCAGTCTCAGGTACCTGTGCCGTCTGGTCATGCAGGACATGGACATTGTAGCCCAAATGTTTGAAGAGGGTGACTAGAGTACTGTGGTCCACATCCCCTCCAGAGCGAAATTCCAGTTCTTTCTCTCCAGTGAAGAGCACATTACTCAGCACCAATGCCAGGCCACGAGGCCGAGACTGCAACCTGTAGGCCTGGGGAGTGGGGGCAAGTTAGACCATGAGCTTCTTAATGACAGGAACTATGACACCCTCACTAGATTAGGCATCCCCCACTCCCAAAGACATAATCTTCTTAACTTCACCAGGTGAATAGAGACCCACTTACAGAAGGCATCCAACCAGCAATGACTTTCTGACTAATAAGGCAGTTAGAAAATGCACATGAAAACTAGGTTCAAAGACTCATGAAAGAGTATCTAATTTCCAACTTTCTTGCCATTACACAAGACTCACCAACTGGCAGTGTGTTTGATAAAACTCAGGAGTGCAAGGCTTCACCTGAAGGCAAGGAGGACCATCTCCATTATCTAGGGAGTGTTCCATAGTGTCTGTGATACAAAAAGAAAGCAAAAAAACTTGTATATAATTCAAACATCAATTCTAGCAGTTAATTATAATATCAGACATCCCTCTGAACTGAGGTTTTGATAAATTTTGGTCTTTTATTCCCCTGACTGGTAAACTCCAAGAGGGCACAGGTGCTGTTAGCTTCAGCTCACAGGGGATCCTCTACACTGGGCTCAGGAGTAGTAGGTACTCAACTTGTTTAATGTCTGAAAAGGTGATCTGATAAATGCCTGTTTTTAACCACCAGGCTACACAATTAGTAGGTTGGTAGCCCCAAACATAGTCTTTTCTCATTCAGTTTTAAAGAAAAGACAAGTTAGTTGAATAGAAATTTTCTACCAATATAAGTTGCTCAACAGGCCAATCATCATAAAGAATATTAACTGTGATGGAAGGGAAATGGGCCCAGCTAACGCACTATTTAAATTATCCTACTAGTCCTTAACAAATTCACTGAAGGAATTGTTCCCAGTATGAAATATGTCTTAGTTAAGGAAAAGCCAAACACTAGTCAAAAAAAGAGAAATCAATGTGTGAGACTCCTTTTAACCCATTAATTCTCACCTGACGACAGGCGGAGCTGCTTGTGAGGGGTACAGGACTCACATACTGGGAAAGGGAGATTCATGTCGTAGTCACAGCTCAACTGTAAAAAAATTTTAGGACTCACCATGATAGACCTTAGGGAGAAGGTTCAGTCCAAATAAAATAAAATCTAGTTTCCCCACCCTGTCCCCAAAAAGTCCTTTCCAGCCAGAGTAACCCTTCCCCAAATCTCAACATATCCAGGGCTCCATACCGGTGGGAGTACGTGCTGAAGACCAGAGAGAGTGGTGAGTAATAGATCCTCCAGGTGCCCCTGCTTGGTCTCCCTCAGTGCTGCACAGAAAGCATCAAAAGCCTGGGGTCCCCTCTTGGGCAGCAAGTTGAGGAGTTCCACATTCTGGCTGAAACTGCCCACTTTGGCCTGAGAGACCAGAACAAACTATGAAATCACAATTATCTAGTTATAATCCCATTTTTTACATAAGCTTTCTAGTAGTTTCCTCATTCATCTTAAGAATTCCTTTTACAGAAAAAGTTATGTACAGGTGAAGTCTTTTCCATTATGTCTTTTCTTTCAAATTCTCTATAGTTAGGAAGGCATCTGCATATCCTTAGCAAGGCATCATGGCTTATCATCTTCTATTCCTACCCCTAAGATTAATTTATCTCCTTGCCCCTCTCTTTTGCCTCCAGATACCTGGATGAGCTCCCTCATTTCCAGAGTGATGATGTCCTTCTCCAGGAGATGTTCCAATAGTTCACTCAGCAACAGCTGTTTGGCTAGCACCACTCGGTTCTTTTTCAGAGTCTCCTGATGGTCAGGATGCATACCATAAACCACTGATATCCTATAGACAACAGTAAATGAAAAGGCAGTCGAGTACAAGTTGGGACAAAGAGTAGAGGAAGAGCCATGGACAAAATAAACAAAAAGGGGACTTACAATAACAAAGATTAGGCTCATTATACTGAATTTGGTTAAAATCAAAGATGTACTAAGCAGTAATAGTACACCAATCCTAAGGGAATAATGTAAAATTCTTTGGGGAGTACATTCAACTGAGGCTATCTGAGATGAATTGTCTGAGTGTGGGATAAAAATATCTTGATACCTAGAGGATAGGAAAGGCAGCAGAATACAACAGACACTAGTATGGCAATATGTAAATCAATGGATGTGTAACTGATGTGATTCTGCAATCTGTATACGGGGTAAAAATGGGAGTTCATAACCCACTTGAATCAAAGTGTGAAATATGATATATCAAGAACTATGTAATGTTTTGAACAACCAACAACAAAAAATTTAAAAAAAAAAAAGAAAAAAAAATATCTTGATACCAAATACAAGCACACATATATCTAAGAGAAAGGATGTATCTCTGTCAGACAGACCAATATTAAGAGAGTTCCAGAAAACATTCATAGTATTAATCTAAAAGTAATGTAAGTTTAAAATGACCTTGGGTGAGGAATAAAATAATTTAATACAAAGGCAAAATCTGAAGCCAATGGCCAGATTTAATAGTCACATGCTTTCTAGATTACTTACACAAACGAAGGTTTTTAAAACCTTTAAGTTACTGTGACAAAATGACACTAGAAATGATCAGAATCCTATCAGATGTAGTGATGAACAGTGTCACTTGAAATTATACTGCAAGGTTAAATTACTGTGGTAATTTATTAGAGATATCTGTATTTCAAAGATTTTTTAGTGTTTCTATCAATTTGGGAAGAGACCAACTTCTGCTTATGAATTAAAGACTCCTATTTCCGATATATTATCTAGGTGCCCTTGTATGTAAATGCAGAGGTCTGCTTAGTTTTCAAATACACAACATTAAAGGCTTGTTGGCAGTGAGAAAAGAAAAAAAGGTCCATCACACAACCTAAAACCTAGTTAATTAAACCTTCATCCTGACTTCAAAAAATAATAAAATTTGCAAGAAAAACATGCATCTATAAAATGGATGTACTTGGACTAGATATTTATAGTTAGAGGGAAAAGCAGAGTCTGAGAGGAATTCAGATATCCAAGAAGAGAACAAGTGGGCATCTAAGACAGAGGAGATATTTAGAATATCCTGCTATTCCAAATTTGGTTCATAAGTAACAGATCTCTTTTCAAAGCAGCAGATCTCTTATGATTGGTAACAACCCTAAGGAATTTGAGATAAAGATCAGTCTTTAAAACTTTCTCTTCCGAATAGTTTTCACAAGGGCCATTCCCTCTAGGTCCTCTCTGCCTACCACGCTTCTATTTCTTTTGGAAGACCTTTGGCCTGTCCTTAAAGTTGATACTGAATTAGGACTCCCCAAAAAGACTCTCCTCCCTAGGCAATCTTTTCCATTCTTACAACTTACTCAATTTCCCTCAAGTACCAGACTTGGTACTTGAATTTTCAACCAAAAATTTATCGGTTTTTATCGAAAACGTGGTCCACTCTCTGCACACCTGCTCCCAATGTGAACTTTTCAAAAGTTTCCAAACCTTCAATTTTTAAGACACAGTTGCAAGGTGGGGGCAGAGAACCAAGGGAGTCTAACAAAAACCAAGTTTTGGAGTCTAACAAAACCAAGTTTTGATTCTGTGTGCTTCTGAAGGTGCCTATTCCGAAATTCTGGGTTAATCCCCAGTCCTGGCCCTGGTTTGGACCAAGACCATTACAATACATCTTTCCCGTTATATCTGTCTCATTACAGGAAAGATCAAGGCAGAAGTGGCGACTTGCTCTGAGACTCAGGAGCCTCCCAATCTTCCCAGAGTACTTAAACTTCAATGCCTATGTTGAATTCTTCTTAAAAACTTGGTCATTATATGGAAAGCAATGCAGGTCATGAAACTGTCTATCCAAATCAAATGTATATCAGGCAGAACACTTATGCCTGCAGAAAGGCTCATTGGTTTTTAAGGAGAACAGTTAGTTCCTCCTCATCACCCAGAAGAAAGGATGGAGACTAGCAGGGCTGCAAAGAGCTATCCTTATGCAGAGCCCCCAAGAGGTGGACAAAGGGAGGCTGGGGCAGTCTTTGCTCACGAAAGGCAAGGCCAAGAGGGCTGCTCGCGCGCCCCTGCGCGGGGTTTGGCTCGGAACGGCCCCGAAGGCTCCTCAGGGCCTCCCATCCTTGGCAGCTAGCCCGGACACGGCTACTTTTAGGGCTCCAAGAACAGGGGGCGACAAGACTGCACGCTGGGACCGCGCGGTCCACTCTCCTGGACGCCATGAAGGCCCCAATGACCCCTTCCCCTCTCACCTGCGCCTCCGGTCAGCAGCCATTAGCCCCCTTTGCTGCAGGGCGGGAGGGGACCCCGCGCTCGGCGCCGCCATTTCCCGCTTTTCCCGGGCTGTGCACGCACCGCCCACAACCCAAACAAACCCAGGGCCGCCACTTCCTCTGCATCCCTCCCCCGACCTCCTGGGCAATCGCGCCTGCGCCTACTGCCCCTAGCCCGGCCCCGCTTTCAGGCAGGTCCGCCTTCGTGATGGTGCGTGCGCAACACAGAACTCTTGCCCGGGTCGCGCCGTCTAATGGGAAGAGAGCAGGCGCCGGCGGAACTGGAAGGGGCGGGGAATGGCTGAAGCCCCTCCTACTGAAGAATCCGACTGGCCATCGGCTCCCGCGGAAATCAAGGCCTCCTCCTTTGGCTCCTCCCCCCGCTCCCTGCCAATCCTGCTGCAATAACTTCCGGAGACCGAGGCAGTGAGACTTGTCGCTTTACTGGAGTTACCCCCAGGGGCGGCATGCACAGATTAGAGGGCGAACACCAGAAGGCGCTAGACAAGACCCCCGCGACGAATGTTGGTTTGCGGGGGAAGTGAGGAGCATCCCAGTCGCAGCACATTGGGGGTCTGAAGAAGCAGGACACGGGGCTGGGGTAGAACCCCAGCAGTCAGTCAGAGTGAAGCCGAAGGGGCTGGGGACACTCTGCAGGTGATCCCGCGCTCCAAGATAGATATTCAGGAGGGAGTCTCCTTGGATACTACCCTTCACCCGTTGCCAAGAAACACGTTGTTAACCTTTCTGACCTTCATCCATTGTCAAAACTTGAAGTCTACCTGGGGCAATTTACTCCACTGCTTTCAGACAGGATGAAGACCCTGCGTGGGGATTGCACTGTAGCTCCTGGGTAGGGGAGAGGCACAGTAACTGCTTCCCACATGGAGCAGGGACCATCAGAGCTGTGATTAGCCTTACTACTGTAGGAAGCTGGGTCACTCCTGATCCTGCCCAGCCCACCCTGTTAGATGTAAGGATCCTGCATTCTGTTTGTATGAAGTCCTCTGTGTAGCAACTGTTCCATGATAGGGACTGAGACAAATGTGGAAGGCCTGGCTTCCTAGTCCTTGCCTTGCATTGAAATCAGGAGTTCATTCAAGTTATTTTTATGTTATTTACTAGCTGTATGTCCTAGTGCATGTTTTATAACTCCTCTGACCCTTGAAACCCCATTTTTCAATGAGGGTAATAATACTTAATAAGGCTGAAAGCCTGAGAGAGCTAACAGAGGTAAGGCATTTGGAACAGATGGAAATTTATCTGTCATTCAGATATTACTTTACTTCCTTCCTCAGCTTCTCTGGATTACCCCACCACCTCACCCTAATTTAACTCTGGAAATACTGGGCATGGGGCATGTCATAAAATGTTGCCAGAAGACTCAAATTCTGTTACCCATTTCTTCATTGGGAAAGGCTTACCATAGCCCGACTCCCCTCTGGATTCAAGTCCCCATTTTTGATGTCCAGGCAGAAATGCGGTTCCTGACACATGGTGGGCGCTGGGAAATGCTGGTCAAATGAATGAATGGGTCTGATGTAGAGCCATAAGTCCTGAGAGAGTTGCTTAGGGGAGTGTCCAGTTGTTTTCATAGAAAACATTATCATCATCAGGGTGAGCAAAGCAGACATCATAGGCAGGGGGTGGAGTAAGAGGCTCCCTTTTGGGGGTTGCCCTCAAGCTCTGCAGATCAGGAGCAGTGGATATGACCCGCGGTCCCCGAAGCCGAAGGCTGATCAGAACTCTTCCAGGGCTTCCTCCTGGGGTCATAGCCCCCTCTGAGCCCACTCGTCTTTCCAGTCTATGTGTCACGGGCCTTTCTGATTGGCTAGGTTGTCCCCCATCAAGTTCTGGGGGGATTACAACACTGCTGTAAGGGGGTGGTTGATCCAGCTGTTGGGGGTGGCTCTCTGATTCCAACACTACCATGGCCTCTTCATATGTTGGCACCTCAAAAGCTTCATTGTCCCTGAGGGAGAAGAAATAAGGTCATTAGTGGCTTCCTGAAAGGACCCCTTTTCCCCTTTCCTGTTTGCAATCCAGACCCCTCTACTGGTCCTTAACCCTTGCTCTCATTAGTACCAGTGAAGGAGGAAAGCAGAGTCTCTTAGAGTCTAAAGGTGTAGAGGAAGGATGGTCCCAGTGTGTATTCCTGTCATCCACCCACACCTTCACTCACCGTGCATTGCTTGGGGTCTCTGGGCTCTCTGTCTGCATTGATCGGAGCCCCCGTTCCAGAAAACAGGCCAGGAGGGAGGCAAACAAGAAGAAGCCAGCCAAGGTGAGAAAAAAATAAGCAACAGGGGCGATGTCTGGCCGTATGCTCAGTAAAGCCAGCCCCAGGAGTAGGGAGGCACAACTCAGGGAGAGAAGTGGTTTCTCCAGTCTCCCCCACAATTGGCTTGGCACCATGGCCCTGCCCAGAATGCCTGCAAAGAGATACACAGCTATGGTGTGTAACTAGAAATTGGGATCATGGCTGTACCAGGTAAACAAATTATATTCCTCGGGTGGGTTCCATGTGCTTCAATCTCAAATAATGACCTGCAGGATCCCCTCCAAGTCCACAGTTCTCTCTAGGTTATCATGTGGCAGGAAACCAGCCCAAGAGTTCTGACTTCCAGCATTCAAGCGAGTTTATTGTGTCTTGGCTCTGCCTGCATTCCTTTCTCCTTACCTGTAGTCTCCCTTCCATCTTCCCTGTAAACCATCCAGAATCCAGTGCAGGCCACCCTGCCACGGCCTCAGTGCACACCGGCATCTCTGGAATCCAGGTGATTCTGGAATCCAGGTGATGGGGCAGGCCTGCCTTTCTCCATTATTGCACCTGTTGGACCTCCACCCTTTCTTTGTTTCTCCAGCTAGAGGCTTTCAGTCTGATCCAGTTGGAAAGAGAAGGGGTATATCACTTACCCTGTCTGTCCCGGTTATCTTCCAATGTCCCCACAGTCAGCCATGCTCTAGTAAAGAGAGAAAGTACACATTGACGCAGCAGAGCCACAGGGACACAATTATCTGAGAAAGAATCTTACAAAGGCCTGGTAGGGGACAAGGCCCTGATCACTCTTGTCCTCTTTGACCCCATATCTGCCAGACACCACTCCATCCCCAACTCACTAAACTGGGGTTTCAAGTTTCTGCTAGGAGTCAGAACAGGGGCAGCAAGTTTAGCGGACAAGGGAAAACTTTTCTCTCACAGTAACAATCCTGAAGCAGTCCATATCCCCAAACCAGCCTGCCAATTCCCTGAAGTTTATATAGCAAAATGTTATAGACCCCCTCCTGACACACCAGTCCAATTCCTCAACCCCAGCCCCGCCCCCCAAGCGGCCTCAGGAGTTCCTGCTCACCTGTTTCCATAGACTGCAGGAAGCAGGTCTGTGTGTGGGGTGGGGGTGGGGCGGGGTGCTGGGGGAAGGAGGCGGAGTCCACTGGCCCCACCCTCTCTTCTGCCCCAATCCCTTTGTCCTGCCCAGTCTTCCTCCTCCCCTCTCCCACCAAGGCTGACCTCCTACTATCCCCACCTGGATTTCCTTTCCACCTATCCATACAAAGTCTTGATGAGCGGGCTCCCCCATCCTAGTGATCTTTGTACTTAGGACCCAAAGTAGAATTAACCTTTCTCTTCTTTTCAATGCACTGGAAGTTAATCAGCCTGGGCAGTTTGCCTTTTATTTAGGTAATTTATTTTCTGCCTGTCTTTCTGACCAGAGTGGTTGTTTTGTTTCTTATTTCACCTTTGTGGACCACAAGGTGCTTGGCACTTAGTGAGCCATGCTGTGTGCTTGGAGTGGGTGCATAGCTTCTGCTGTTGTTGCTGCAGACTGCCTCTTTCCTGCCAACCTGTCAGAGGGGTGTGTGTGTGTGTGTGTGTGTGTGTGTGTGTGTGTGTTTCTTGGCCTGTTTAACTCTTGATTCTTCAAAATTCACTTAGGGGTGATACCTGCTTTGGAGCCTGTCTGCACTGTATAGCCACATCATTTTTTTATTCCTTTATCTGGGCCTTTTCCTGGTTATATACTTTTCTTCCACTGTTCCTTAAGGAGAGTTATTAGTTTCAGTCATCTTTGAAACCCTGAAACTAGTACAGTTCCTGTCACAGGGTAGGTATGAGCTCAGTAGAGTTGATTCCAGTATCAGAAGCCACCTTGCTTGAGGCCTCATGACACTCTGTGGATCCAAAGCCACTCCTTAGCTTTGGGTCAGGCAGTAAGTCTCTGTGAGGAGACTTACTGGGAAATGGAGAGTGGCTGGAGCCTATAATGTCCTGGAGCCACTCAAGACTGGACTCTTTTCCTTCTGCCTGTTAGCTGGGAATAAAGGGGGAAGCTGCAGACAGAGGGGCACAAATATAATCCAGAGCCCCCAGGGACAGTTGTGGGGGTCTAGCCAGGCTGCTGTAGCAGAGGGTACGTGGAGTGTTCACCCCAGGGCTGTAAATGTTCCAGCCTACTGTTTTCCAGTCCCAAAGAAAGAGTTTGGAAGACTCAACAGAGAGGTTTTGGACATTTTATAACTTACTCCTTAGCAGCGGCCATGGTGATGTAACGGAGGGATGCATGTGCCTACAGCCAGGGGAATATGCACGATAGGCTGCAGCCCACTGCACAGGTGGTTTTCCCCAGATGTATTATGAGTACATTCCTTTATTTCACAATCCTCTCTTCAGATGCTCTCCTAAAGATAGAAGATAAGAAAATGGCCAATTTCCCCCTGTCTATTTCCTGAGGTATCACATTCCTTAGAGACTTTATCTTACTGCAAGCTTTCCTGGGCACTGATCAGTGTTTAACCCAACAGTGGTGTTTGTTTGTGTGTGTGTGTGTGTGTGTGTGTGTGTGTGTGAGAGAGAGAGAGAGAGAGAGAGAGAGAAAGAGAGAGAATATGGATATGTGTGCAGTATTAGCTTCATTTCCTTTGTCTCAGATCATTATGGGAAGAGGGAAGAGACCACCAGACAATAAGGGAAGGTTAGGGACACATAAGGCAGGAGGGGAAGTTAAGACTGCAGCTGTGCACCAGGATGCTAACTTTCCATCATCTACTTAAGACCGAACAACCGGAGATCCTAATGCTGAGGCCACTGGCTTCTTCTGAAAGGATATTGGTGGTCATAGCTATTTATCTGTGTAGAAACAATTGATTGGACCCACATACGAAGATCCTTAATAATAAACATGAAGGGTAAGTCTGATCATCATTTTCATTTTACAGAGGAGGAAACCAGTTCAGAGAAAAATGCATGATTTATTTAGTTAGAACCAAATTCAGAGCCGTGACCTTTTAATTCAGACAGATTTTCTGCTCCACAATTATCTTATTTCTTCCAAAGAACCATAAATCCTCCAATAATGGAGGAAAACTGTGTGCCAGCGCCCTCACTACTAGTTTCAGTATCATACAATGCTCCCTAAGAGAAAATGTGAACAATGGTGTTTGGGCAGTTGCCTCAGCTCAGGTGTACAGTAGGACGTCACCAAAAGCTCTTCTGAAACTTGAGAAAGTGAGTGTGGTTGTTGCTGAGCAGCCGCAACAACAAAAGCACCATTTGTTAGAAATGCCTTCAGATGGTAGCAAAAGTCCCACATGTGTGCTCCCTAAAAATACCAGCAAACAGAAGGCATTGGGGTTAAGCACGTGTGTTTTGGAGATGGCCAAACCTGGTTTTAAACAGCTCATTTCTGCAAGTTGTGTGCCCTTGCTTAAGTTACATAACCTTTTGAGCTTCAGTTTCTAATCCCTAAATTGGGGAAATTAAGCCCAAGCTTACTGTCCCCTTTCTATTTGTATTCCTCACCTTGGTGAACTGCAGGTTTTTGGTTTGAATGTAAGGGGCACATCTGTATGAGACCAGGGTGGGGGACCATCCTGTGACTGGGCACCTGATGTCACATGGAACATTTGTTTGTTAACATTGCACATGACCTGGTGCTAACCTCCAAGAGTCCCTACCCAGGAAAGGTAACATTTGATCTTGATCTTTGGGGTTTTTGTGATGTGGGTAGGGAGATAAAACACCATATGAAAGAAATAATGATTGAGGACAGTATCGGAGATTGTATCTTGTGGATATTAATAAATCTTGAAGAACATAAAAGTTAGAGATTACTAAAATATAATTATTTTATTTAGTTAAAAATAATTTAAGTTGTAGTATAAAATTTAATAGTTAACAAGATTATAGTTGAAAGCAAGTCTCCTTATAGTGCTAAACTGGTCTCTTGGATCCCTTCCCCAGAGGAAGTTTCCTGGTGTTTTCTAGGTAACTGTGTTCACACTACCCTGACAGAGACCATGAGTATGCAAAAGCAATATGTAGATAGGAATGGCGGCACACATCTGTAATCTCAGCAGCTGGGTGGGGAGAATGGAGAGGTTTTGAACTAGCCTTAGCAACTTAATAAGGCCCTCAGCAACTTCTCAAGACCCTGTCTCAAAATAATAATAATACAAAAAAGAGGCTGGGGATGTGGGCTCAGTGGTTGAGTGCCCCTGGGTACCAGGAAAAAAAAAACACACACACACATACAGAAAAGAATTTTGTAGTGTATCCACGACCTAATCTTGCAATTAACATTATATGTACTTGCTTTATTATGTGTTTCTCCTTCTATCTATGCCTTTGTTCATTCATCAATGTATCTTTTTTTTTTTTGATGGGGGGAGTACTGGAGATTGAACTCTGAGGCACTCAATCACTGAGCAACATACCCAGCCCTATTTTGTATTTTATTTAGAGACAGGGTCTCACTGAGTTGCTTAACACCTCGCTTTTGCTGAGGTTGGCTTTGAACTCTCCATCCTCCTGTTTCAGCCTCCTGTGCCTCTGGGATTACAGGTGTATGCCACCACACCCGGCTCATCAATATATCTTAATCCTTAGTACATTTCAAAGAAGTCTGCAGACGTAAGCACACTTCTGCCTAAATACTTCAGCATGCACAAAAATTGAGTTCAATATTTGCTTTGAAGTAACATCAGTGTAGAACAAAGCATACAGATTTTAAGTAGCTCATGCTCCAAATTTTGACAAAGGCATACACTTGTGTGACCTCAACTCCATTTAAAATGTGAAACATTATTATTGCCCAGAAAGTTTCTTCATATCCCTTCCCAGTCAATTCCATATGCAAATATTATTTTTTCCAACTTTTGAAATACATTTTTATATTATAAAACATGTATTTGATTTTATTGTGTGTGTGTGTGTGTGTGTGTGTGTGTATGTGTGTGTGTGGTGCTGGGGGTTGAACCCAGGGCCTTGTGCTTGAGAGATTTTATTGTATTTTAGGAAACATCTATTAATGTGTTTAATGACTTTCCAGCTGATAACCATTTAGATTGTTTTCAGGATTCTGCAATTAATATTTTTCTCCATTTGTCTTTATTTACATGTATATATAAGAAACATTTCTCAAAGTGAGGCTTTTGATAGGTATGACCAAATTCAAAGAAGGTGTAGCTGGCCACACTTCTGCTGCTGGGGCCCTGCTTCCTCATGCTCTGAGGGAAGGAGTTGACAAATTTTTATCCTGCACTGGCGATGTGGACAATCTAAGGGGTGCATTCAAGAGGCAGCTCAGAGAGGAATCTCACTCACTGGGAGCTACAGACCAGAGAGGACAGATGCCTGTACAACTAACTGTAAGACAAAGTTCCAAGTGACCGGGGCTGGGAGTGAGGCACAGGTGCTGCTGGGATTCAGAGAGGACACTGAGTGCTGGGAAGGGTGGGGATGGGGAATGTGCCAGGGAGGAAGCAGGGTTTGTCCACACTCCTTTTATGCATGGCTCGGTAATAGGCATGGGGCAGGGAATAAATACTTGTCAAATATTTTATTGGTAATTAGTGAATACTTACTGATTTAATGAGTCATGATCTTCTGATCCCTTGGTTTCCCCTTAATTGACACACACCCTATTCAAATCTTTTCCAGTCTGGCACAAGCTAAAGCCAGCCACACCCTTGAACATGGGCTTGGCTATAAAAAGGAGTTAGGATTATTTCTTTAGAGGTGGTAACCTAGGAAAATATCAAATAATGATTAAAAACAGACTTACATATTAGTGATTTATTTAAACTGAGATTCAAATTTTTTAAAAAAATATAGATTTTGAACTGTGGACTGAGTCTGGAGTACTCTACCACTGAGCTATATCCCTGGTCCTTTTTATTTTTTATTTTGAGACAATGTCTCCCTAAGTTGCTGAAACTGGCCTTGAACTTGCAATCATCCTACCTCAGCCTCCTGGGATTGCAGGCATGTGCTACCGCGCCTAGCTGAAATAAATAAAAATTTCTTATTTATAGTACATATTTTATTCATTTATTTAAAACATATAGTACATGTTTTAGTTAGCTTTTTTGTTGCTGCAACTGAAAGACCCAACTAGAACAACTGTAGAGGACAAAAAGTTTATTTGGGGGCTCACAGTTTCAGAGGTCTTAGTCCACAGAAGTCCTGTGCTATTCCTCGGGGCTTGAGGTGAGGAAGAACATCATGGTGAAAGAGTGTGGGAGGAAGCAGCTCACATGGTGATCAGGAAGTAGAGAGAGATTACACTCTCCACATACAAAATATATACCCCAAAGCCACGTCCCAATCCCTACCTCCTCCAGCGACAACCACCACTTCAGTTGCCACTGTTAGTCTCTATCAGAAGATTAATTCACTGATTAGGTTAAGGCTCACATAACCCAATTATTTCTCCTCTGAACCTTCTTGCATTGTCTCACTTGGAAGCTTTTGAGGGACACCTCACATCCAAACCATAACAGTAGAAAAACATCACTGTTCAAATGGCAGCACATGAAGCCAGCTGCCCATTCCACTGCAGCTCTCTAGACTTGTATCATGTAAATGCTTTCCATGCCTTTATAATAAATTAGTGATATTTAAACAATTAAATGATATTTAAAAAATTCAAAAGGTGTGTGTCTGATCCAAGCCAAGGTTTTACTTTTCCCCAAGATTAAAGAGACTCTCTTAGCTGGGATTAAGGGGATGGGACAATTAAGCAATGGTCCAGTTGGCCTCCCAGCCTCTGCTGGCCTCTGGCCACCTTTCAGTGCTTCTACTTTTGCTTGTGCATAGGAATAGCAGTTGAATGAAACTCCTTCGAGAAGGAAAATGATGGGTAATGGGTGTCCAATGCTTACTTCCACACAGACTCCCACTATCACTCATCTGCCCTGCTTTCCCAGCAGCAGCATTTCCGGCACTCTCCATTTGACTTTTCAACTTTGTAACTTCATCCTCCTCTCCTGCGACCTTGCAGTCTCCTCCTCCTTGCTACCTCCATCTCTGTTTTGCTTCTCTCCCTGACTCTCTTCCCTCTTCTTTGCTCCATTTATTCAGGAAGCATTTTCTCAGCATGTATGATGTGCTTACAGGATCAGCTACAGCCACAGAATGTGTGAGATTTAGTGCAAAATGAAAAATTCACGACTGCATGTTAAAAATTATGAAGAATTTCAAGACAGTGACTGCAAGGGTAAAGCCACTTGCAAGGCCATGTGAATGTGTAGGCTGCAAGCCTGTGAAGCTGGTCTGTGCGCATAGTACTGTGGGGATAAGGCAAAACATGGAGCATCACAAAATTATAATCTCATTACATCCTTTTTTTTCCTGACAGTACTTATGTAACATTTTAATACCTTTAATTATGTTGCAAATTGTTGTGTGTATTTATAAGGCACAATGTGATATTTTAATATAGTACATTATTCCATATCTTGGCAAACTGGTTAGTTACAAAGTTTATGTGGCTTCGTCCTCTGTCCCTGACAGAGACAAACAGGCGACTGACTAAGGAAAGGAGGGGATTGTTTCCCCAGGTCTGCCCCACAACTGTCCAACAGGAGGCTAAAGAGCAGGGTGGGTTGTCCTGAAAGAGCTCTTTTTGCTCCACTCCTACAGTAGACAGGATGTGATTGTAGGACTGAGGGTATGGCAACACCACCAGCAGACTCAGACATAGAAAGGTTTTGCCTGATGGTATTAGGTTTATTTTGTGGGATAGCAGAATTTGGGGCTTTCATAAGGCACTTATAAGGCATAGAATTAAAGGTAACCACAGCTAAGGAGAGGCCCACTCCCCATTATCCCTGGGGACAGGTGTAAGAGAGCACCTTTGGGGCCACAGAGGACACCCTGCCAGAGAGAGAAATCCAAGTCCAGTGCTCCAATAGTGTGGCAGGAGAGAGGTGTGACAATAGGCCTGCTTGTTGATACCAAGAGCCTGCAGGACAATCTTAAAGTCTGGCATTCAGGGTTGGAGGCACAGGGCCCATCCACTTCTCTCCTGCATGAAGAAAATCACAGATGTCTACACGCTATTTTCAAGTGAGTTGGCAGAGAAGTTGGCCCACGGGGGTTTTCCAGGAAGCCAAAAGGCTTCCTTCTCTTCCATGGGGGGTGGTGGTGGCACCTCCCACCCCATTTGACCTTGAGCAGCACTGACTATCCAAGGCTTCCTGTTGGATGTGCCAAGAATATTTTGCTCTGAACCCTTCTGTCTAGTCAACTGATATAACAGAAGTGGGGCTGGAATCAAAGGCTGCGGGAACTTGAACTTACCCAGCAGGTATGCCAGCAACTCCATTCGGTCAGAGCCAAATAGCATGTGAGTTTGGCCATCCACATGGGCCACGGTGACAGGCAGTCCAAAGGCCTGAGAAAGCAGTTAGTAGTGCAGGGGGCAAGGTGGACCAGGTGTTTATTAGGCTGGGGTGGAAGGCTATAGTAACTTTTATTAGGGACCATAGAAGCAAAGCCACCAAACAAATGTTTGAAAAGAGGCTCCATGATGCAAGGCGCCTTCTCTGCTTCTATAGCACAGAGGCTCTGAATTTCTCTCAACATGTTCCTTCCCCACCTATCTTGGGCTCAGGCAGAGGAAGAGAGGAAAGGATTGCCTGGGAGAGCTAAGAAGGACTCATGAGGACAGGGGGCTTTTGGGTAGGAACCCCATGCTCAGAGATTCTCAGGCTGTACCTTCAGGATGGGGCTTGGGAACACACAGTCACTCACCCCATATTTACAGGCCACCTCTGTGACCTCCCTGAGCTTCTTTTTCACCTCAGCTGTGGAGATCATCTCCAGAAGGCCTTGGGCTTGCTCTGCAGATAGACCTGCCTTCTCTGCAGCCTGAGGGGACATGAGGGAATATAACTGTTGGCACTATGAAGGTGAAGCTCCATAGAAAATTCTGGTTGTTCTTTTTCTTCCTCCAAGCTTTCCTGGCAATGTCTTGACCCACCCATCAGTGGTGGTCAATTCTTGTCAAGAGAAACTCTTCTTTCTCTAAAATCTTCACAAAAGTGAAAAGAGCAGAGGGCACAGAATCATAGTCACAGAAACTAAATGCCAGAGAGCATCTTAGAAATCAACTAATCCTACCTCTTCCCTTCAGGAATGAATTACAAATTACTAGCTCAGAGGCAGAGGCTGTTGGCAGCAACACTAGATTCCAAGTCCCTAGAATTTAAGTCCTGTCACCATGGCCCATGTGGTTCCTTCCTTTCTTGGATTTCCTGAATATCTCATGCTGCTTTTTTGTTTGTTTTGCAGTGCAGGGGATGGAAGCCTGGGCCTGAAGCATGCTAGACAACTGCTCTACCACCAAGGTACACACTCAGCTCTCATGCTGTTTTGAATCAGTGGCTGGATTCTAATTCCCATGGAACTATTCAGAACTCTGGAATAAGGTCATGGCTACAGCTACGTACTTGGCTTCAAGAGAATGATAAAGACTTCAGTTTAAGGGTGGTTGTTAAGGTTTGGGATCAGTGATTCTTACCTCTTGAGCTGCACATTAAAATCTCCTGGGAGTTTAAAAAAAATTCTAATGTATAATCCATCCCCCAGTCTCTATTGGAATTTCTGGGAATAGGGTGGCACTCAGTTGTTCTATGTATTGTTAATGTACTGCTTAGGTTGAGAAGCACTGCAACCTGACTTCACGAAGTCCATGCTAAAGACTCATCATCTTTGACAGGTTAAATAAGAGAATGTGTCCAGGACCAAACAAATGTTCAACAATAAGGGAATGGATAAGTAAACAGAAAGGTCACTGGGTGGAATGCTAGAGACAATAAACAACACCTTCAAAAAGTTAAGGTTGGAGCAGAAAATGATAAGTAAAAAAAGCAGGTTAAAAATATGCATATACTTTTCAGGAACAAAGAAAGACATCAGCAGATGTATTGACTGATCTTTGTTACATTTAACTGGTATGATTCACCACCATTTGTTAGGTATGAATATGCATCATCTATCTTCTGTAAGCTGGAGGAAAAATACTGTTCTGAATTTCCTGACTTAATCCTAAAGAACATTTTACTTTAAAGCCCCTGTGTCTGTCTGGCATCGATGCTTCAAGCTCTTCACTCAGTGTCTATATAATTCTGGCACTTGTCAGTTATCCCTTTTTGTCTTTTTAAAGTCTCCTGCTTTCTACTCTGCATGTATTGGGGTCCTTGGAGATTTGTGAATACTCCATCCTTCCCCATCTGGAATTCTAATACTGATCATCTCTTTCCCACTGACTTCTTTCATCAAATACATTATATCCACGGTTGCCCATTTTGCATTTCCTCTTGCAACCATGAGAATTTTTTCTGTTTTGGTGCAGATTGAACCCAGGGCCTCAAGCAGGCTAAGCACACATTCTACTACTGAGCTATACCCAGCCTCTGAGACATTCTTTTAAGAATCCTCCTCATTCCAGCTTTCTGGTAATTTGTTCCCTTAAACACAGATACTCTTTCTCTCCAAACCTCTCGGGCCTTTCCCATGCAGTATGAAAAATACTGTGTTCTTCCCTCTCAAGTGCCAGCTGTTCTCAGGTTCTCTACAATTGTACTGGGGATGGAGTCAGGGTACTCACAGCCAGGATGCTCTGGGGCTCTGAGATGTCTTGGTCCTAGGAAGAAGAGAATACTCAGCAGGAAGCAGTGTGGCAGGAGAGAGGTGTGACAACAGGGAAGGGCACGATCAGAATTCAAGAAATGGGCCTCAAAAGGGTCAGATCCTCCAGAGTTCCTCCACCCCCCACCCCCAGTGAATTCCCAGATTCCTGCCCTCACCCGTGACCAGACTCGCATCCATAGCTCCCTGGACACCTTCTCCAGCATCTCTGGGTTCTCCATTTTCACAGCAGTAAGGAATCGCATGGCAGATACACTTCCTGTGGGCAGAGGCATTCAGAGATAGGGCTCCTCTCCTTTGTATCAGGATGGAGGACCAGCTATTCTGATGTCCCCAAGGCTCTATCACCTGCAGCCTTTCACCAAGTTTCCCATGACCAACTTGCCCTGCTCAGTCTAAGTCCCCATGACCTTTAGCTCACCCTGCTCTGATCCTGAAGTTTCCTAAGGATGCTTCACTTAAGTTAGTCTCCAGAGTCCCTCCTTCCTGGCCCTCTGATCTCCAGCTGCTCTGCTCTCCACTTGATTCCCCACATGCAGCCCACTCTTGTTACCTTTTTCAATAATCACAGAGAAGAAATCCTTGGGGAATCTGAGGGGAACCTGGAAATGCTGTTTCAGGAGACTGAGTTCTCTTTTCAAGTACTGTCCTTTGCGAGGAAGCAGAGCTGGGGGCTTGTTTCCTGGCAGTGGAGAATTGTACATGCTGAGAGAAGACCTAAGAGTCCCAGGCTTGGAGGATCCCTCCCTGGGTGAAGGGCAGAGGGTAAATTACTAGCTGCAGGTGCCAATATAAAGATTTGGTTGAGGACAGCTCCTCCAGACCACTGAGATCAGCCCTCCTGCAACACCCCCGCCCAGCCTACCCCAAATGCTTCTCCTTTCCTACCGCTGTCTTTCATGATTCCTGCAATGAGAGTGGGCTGCAACTGTAGCTTGATGTTCCAGATCTTCTGATACCTGCACAGGACCTACTGGTGCAGAGGAGGAGAGCCAGTGTGGACCACAGAAAAAGTGACATGCTGAAGGAAAGGGATGGGGCTGGCTCAGTGCAACCAACTAACGGGCAGAGCAATGGTGTTAAGAGCACTGAATTGTTTGGTGATAAGATCAAAACACTCTCCAGTCCTAGAAATCCATTCCATGATCTTTGTTCCTGTGGATGGTTTCCATCCCGTTCTTGATTATTTGGAGTTTGCCCCCGTTCTTTCTCACTATTGTGGAAAGCAACTGTACCATCTTAGGAAATAAAGACTCCACTTGGAAATTAGGACTGCGACTCTATTTAAAAGCACACAGTGAACTTCAATCAGGTGCGCTCTCTGTCCTAACCCCAAGGGCAGTTCCAGGAATTTTTGGAGGCCTCTGCTCCACTGCTCTGCGCTCGCGCTACCCCCTGCCCTCGCCCTTCAGGCTCTCCCACTGTCACCTCGAAGCACAGCCAGGAGTACGGGGACAGGACATCGTAGAAGAGCTCCAGGGTGCGCGGCAAGGGCCCCATGCTGCAGCGAAGGAGACCAAAAGCGAGGCGGACTGCAGCTGGAGTAAAGGCTGCGAGAGAGCACCTTTGCTCCTTGGCCCCAGGCTCCGCCCGCTTTGCTTTTTTGGGCCCGCCCTTCGACCCGCCCACCGCGGTGGAGAGACGTTCCTGGGGCCCAATGGGGCGAATCGCGAAGGATTTCGCCTCGGCTTCGTGCAGAGTGCACCCGAAGAAGACCCGCGCGAGGATTGAGAGGGGTGGGGCTGGCACCTGCAGTCTCCGCCCCGTATGAGGTGGAGGCCGGGGCGCAGAGGGTGGTGTGAGACGTTTGTGGGGTCGCCCAATTACCTGTGCTCATTTAGCGAACCACTAGACCCCTCCGAACCTCATTCCTCCAGCAAATGGGATCTACTTAATGACTTAAGAGTTGTGAGAAATGAAGGCATGCCAATAAACGTTAGCTGTATATTGTTACATGGCAGTTGCATGAACATCTTAGGACTGGTGCCTTGTAGAAGTTCCCCGTTACACATTTTCTTGTGTTGCCTTTATCAAAAATTAGCACAATGGCTAGAACATAATTGACAACATAATAGTCCTCTCTTATCCACCCTCCCAATACATTTAAGATCCCCAGGGAAATAACTGAAATCGAAGGTGCAGATTGAAGGTCACTGTGTGCTTTTAAATGGGATAGAGTACCAAAACCTATCTGTTTTTTCCTGTACAAACATAATTATGATTTTAATTTGTAACTTAGGCACAGAAATTAGCAGCAATAATAGAATAATCAAAACAAAATACTGCACTAAAAGTATGCACTTTGGAACCATTATTAAGTAAAATAAGTATTACTTGAACTTAAGCACTTCAGTACTACAACCTAGATGGCTAAGTGACCAAGAGGTGGGTGATATATACAGTGGGGATACCATGGACAAAGAAAGGGATGATTCACATCAAAGTGGGAAAGGTGCATGATTTTATCAAGCTACTCAGAAAGACTGGCCATATAAAACTTATGAATTTTATTTGTTTCTAGATTTTCCCCTTAGTATTTTTGGACACCAGTAGACTATGGCAGAAATGAAACTCTAGAAAATGAAACTATGGATAAGAGAAGGAGGACTCTGCAGGCCCAATTAGCCCACCTAAGTGGCCTGGGAAAGAAAATATAATTACAGCTTCCAGAAGACCCCAGCAGATTTTGAGAATATAAATTGCAGAGTTGAAACTCTGTGTGTCAAGAACCTGGTATCTTTGATCATAAGATCATTGAAAAGCTCACTAAATGAGCAGCAAAAAAATGAAGGGAATTTTTACATTCTTCTGAGTGTGTAACAGAGAGACTGGTAGGGGATGAGGAAGACTCACTCATTATCCCACAGTAATTATAGGGACAATGGGGAATGATCTGCCCTATTTTTATCAGCTAACATGTCATGTCTTAAATGAGAATTTCATATACTGCATTGAAACAGCATTTTAAAAAAATCTTATTTAACTTTATTAAAACTATTTTGAACATTACTAATTTAGAAATTAGAGCACACACAGTAAAAATACAGCTTCTCGTGTATTCATTAGCACATAACTACAGCCTATCAGAATCCAAAAAGCCAATCTCTACTTCTATATGAAATATGTTATAATTTGTATCTGGAATGTCTTCCAAAGGTCCATGTGCTCAAAGTGTGGTAACTAGCTTAGCACTATTGAGAGGTGGTATTCTGAGTGCTGAGGAATATAAGCACCTGGCTAATTATTTGATGTGGGAGTGAAAAAACAAAACAAAAAAAAAGTTGCTCATTTTAGTCCTTTAGATATAAAACAAAGAATAGGATAACTGGGTCAAATGGTGGTTCCATTCCAAGTTTTGTTTTGTTTTTTTTTTTTTTTGAATCTCCATATTGCTTTCCAGAGTGGTTGCACCAGTTTGCAGTCTCAACAGCAATGTATTAGTGTACTTTTTCCCTCACATCCACACCAATATTTATTGTTACTTGTATTTATTTATTTTTCTTTTTATTTTGTGGTGCTGGGGATTGAACCCAGGGCCTTGTGCATGCTAGGCAAGCACTCTACCAACTGAGCTACATCCCCAGCCTGTTACTTGTATTCTTGATAATGGCCATTCCGACTGGAGTGAGATGGAATCTCAGTGTAGTTTAATTTGCATTTCTGATTGCTAGAGATGTTGAACATTTTTTTCATATATTTGATGACCAATCATGTTTCTTCTTCTGTGAAGAGCCTGTTAAGTTCCTTTGCCCATTTATTGATTGGATCATTTGTTTTTTGATGTTAAGTTTTTTGAGTTCTTTGTATATCCTGTTGATTAATGCTCTTTCTGAGGTGCAGATGGCAAAGATTTTCTCCCATTTTGTAGGCTCTCTCAGTTCTTGATTATTTCCTTTGCTGTGAAGAAGTTTTTTAGTTTGATACTATCCCATTTACTGGTTTTTAATATACAGTGGTGCAGCCATATCAATGTTTATAGCAGCTCAATTCACAATAGCTAAGCTATGGAATCAACCTAGGTGCCCTTCAACAAAAGAATTAATAAAGAAAATGTGGTATATATACACAATGGATTATTATATAGCCATAAAGAAGAATGAAATTGTGGCATTTGCTGGTAAATGGATGGAACTGGAGACTATCATGCTAAGTGAAATAAGTCAATCTTCCCAAACCAAAGGCTAAATGTTCTCTCTGCTATGTGGATTCTAACACACAATAGGGCAGGGGAATAGAAGTTCATTGGATTAGACAAAGGGGAATGAAAGGAAGGGGGGATGGGATTAGGAAAGACAGTAGAATGAATCAGTCATGACTTTCCTATGTATATGAATACATGACCAGTGTAACTCCTTATCATGTATAGCCACAAGAATGGGATCCTATTTAGGATAAGTTATACTCCACATATGTATAATATGCCAAAATACACTCTACTATCATGCATACATAAAAACAATAAATAAAAAATTTTTTTTTCTAAGTTGGTTGGCAAATCCAATATAAAGTGTGTGTATGTGTACTGAAGAGAGGGTTTAAGACAACGAGAATAAACCCAGGAACAGCTCCCCAGAGAAAGTGACCAAACGAAGAGTTGAATGGTAGGTGGGAGATAGACCGTTGAATGTAAGTTAGGTATGCTGCAAATATAGGATAGTATAGACTGGAAAGTTATAAATTACAAAATTTATTTTTTTATAGTTCTAGAGGTTGGGAATTCAAGATCAAGACACCAGCAGATTTGGTGTCCAGTGAGAACCCGCCTTCCGGTTCTCATTTTGTTCTCACATGGAGGAAGGGAAAAGGAAGCTCTCCAGGGTCTCCTAATCACACTCATCCCATTCCTGAGAGGTCCTCATGGCCCAGTCACCTCCCAAAGCCCTCACTTCCCGATGCCAGCACCTGGGGAATGAGGATTTCAACATAACAAAATTTGGGGCAGGGGACACAAACATCCATGACAGAAAGAGTGTGTGTGTGGTGGGGGGAGCAGGTGAACATCCCACATAGAGCCAGCAACATGTGCAAAAACCCATTTCTGGGGTCTGGAGGAACTGACAAGGGCTCTTTAGCTGCAGGACTGAGAGGGCAGTACAGGAGATGAGGCTGGACCCGGGGCAGGTAAAGGGTGGTCATGTGACAGAGTCTCTGGTTGAATGACCTCAAGCTTCGTGATTTTATAAACATTTCACAGAAAAGAAGGAATTCCATTGCTTAAGTTGTTAGAAGTGCTTCCTGTGGAGCAGAAAAACATACAGGAACTGTTAGTAATGTATTCCTGTGATGAATCACACCACCACAAATATATATATATATATATATATATATTTTAGCAAACATACACAGAGTTTGCTACATTTAAGACACTGTTCCAAGTGCTTTGTAAATAACAAGCTTATGAGATAGGTACTACTTTTTGTCAGCAGCTTTATTTCTTTATTGTGGTACTGGGTATGGAGCCTAGGGTCTCATACATGCTAGAAAAGTGCTCTATCACTGAGCTACATGTCCAGCCCTTTAGCAGCTATATTTATTTACTGTAAACACTTCCATTCAATGGATTTTAGTATACTGATACATTTGTGCAGCCTTCGCCACAATTTAATCTTAGGATATTTCCATCAACCCCCAAGTCCCCTGTGCCAGCTTGCATTCAATCCCACTCCCAGCCCCAGCCCCAGGAAATCACTGATTTGCTGTTTCTATAGATTTGCCTTTTGTAGCCATTTCATATAAATATATTTAAATTTCATATATTAAATTTCACATAAATATACAGTTTTTGCATCTGGCTTCTTTCACTTAGCAATATTGCTTTTGAAATTCATCAGTGTGGAAGCATACACCAGTTGTTATTTATTTATTTATTTACATTTTATTGGTGAAAAATATCCCATTGTATTAATTTATTCATCTACTAGCCAGAGGATGGACATTTTAGTGTTCTAGTTATTGACCATTATGAACAATGCTGTGAATATTTGCATACAAATCTCGGTGTGGGCATATGTTTGTATTTTTCTGGATAGATACCTAGGAGTGGGATTAGCAAGCAGATTTGATGATAGGTTTGTCTTAATTAAAAAAACAACAAAAGGATAGACTTCTCCAAAGTCTCTGTTCAGATAGTTAGCATCACCATCATCTCCACTTTATGGATGGGGAAATTATGAGACCTTAAAGCCTGTGAGTGATGAGGGTGTGAACTGAATCTTTGAGATCCTGATTCAACCTCTGCCGATTTAACACAAAACTTTGGTGACCACTTCCTTTGTTTGGAATTTTCAATTTCTAAGAACAAATCTTGTCTTCTTCCCTCATCTCATCTTGGTTTCAGAAGTGTTAAAGAACATGTCATTCAGTTCTGTCTTGGGGGTGGGGATTGTGCCTGTAGGAATTCCTGCTGTGTTTGTTTTCTTCTTTGGTCCCAATGTGGATTCCTACGCAAATTTCAGGCCACTTGAGAATTTTTATTTTCATGCTCTTTCCAGGAGGAAAATGAACAAACCTAGCAAGTGTTTTCCATTTGATCACTCCAGTGATCAAATCCCCCTTCTTGTATCAAGAACAATC